TTGTCAGTGAAGAGAATAGATAGTGTACAGAATACTCTTTCTTCTGTACAACACAAATACATAGAGACATAAGAACAGTTTAGTCATTATCATCATCAACATCATTCATGTGTTTGTTTCCTGTGTACTAGTATTATTGATGCTTTGCTAGAATGAATGAAGTATTGTGTGTAAGTATCAAACCACGGCAATAATACAAGGTATATAACAAGAAAAATTTCCCAAATACATGATAGAGTTGAATATATTTTGTTAAAAAAATATATAACTGAAAATGATAGACATTGAGATTGTTCATATCTTCAATCACATCTGTTACGATCAATGAGTCGAAATGAGACAAACAGGAAAAAGGGTACAACGAATAAATGGAATAAGACTACCGAAAACATTCAGTCAGTCATCTACAATGTAGTACCATGCACATACATGTATCGGTCCAATTTACCATACCTCATTTGCACAACAAGACGAACATCAAATTCATAGAAGCAGTTACTTCATCGATAGTAATATATGAAAGAAAGATTGCATATAAGGATATGACAGAGGAAAAGAATTAGTTCATAGAAAGAAAGGTATGAAGTAATTTTAATCTCACAGTTTATCGGAAGACAAACAGTGTAATCACAATTGATTGGTCACTGGGTGACCAATGTCATGCGTGTCACCACCACCACCATCTAATCTTACAATAGTGCCTGCGGTGTCGAGTCACCTAGACTGGTGGCCACATTGCAACATGATCGATAGCATTCGATCTGCACTAATAATAAGGACTAGACACGCATAACATTGGTCACCCAGTGATCAATCAATTGTGATTATATCTCAGTTCTACAGGAGGTCGGTCGCGGCCCGGATACCTCAGTGGTAACGTCTCTGACTGTGAAGCTGGGTGACACGGGATCGAATCCGCCAGGGAGCACCAGTTCCCTCAAAGATTACAGGTACACCTTGCTGACCAGTGCCAAGTAGCACGAAACCCGGGTCCAGGCTTTCCTATCGACTACCTCCAACCACCATCTAACAAACAGTGTATACACCTACATCAATATGATCGATTCTGAGCCTTGTCACCTAGAGTTTCCAACCATCGGTTACGATAGTCACGTGGACCTTAACCAAATAGTTTGTATCTATCAACATGGATCAGATCAGAAGTTACAACGAAGGCTTGATAATGCCCCAATAAGAAACTATTTACACTATCATTAAAATAATCCATAAAAATTGTTAAATAATGTTATTTGACTGGAAATTCATCACTGTGCAACAACGTGCAAGCAAACAGACAATAAAAAGTGAGAATTGTATGAAAATTATCAATATATTCAACGTTTGATCAACAGTTAAACAGAACAAAATAAGATAACACACTACCATCTTAAGTGAATACAACTAGTATTCTTACCATTTTATGGTAAGAATAACAATATCAATGTAATTTACTGGTTTACATTATTCGATTAAAACCTATTACGTAACATCGTTAAGGTAGTATACTTTTTTTAAGGAAAAAAAGTGAATGATACAGTTATACCTTTTTACTTATAACAGTTGTGAATATTCATCGAGTGAGATGGTTGGGCCACATGTTACTCATACCCACCACCGATTACCACAACGTGCAATCCAAACCGTTGTTGAGGATGGTTATTTATTTATTTATTTATTTATTTATTTATTTATTTATTTATTTATTTAACACATAGGTATTGGTACAAGGAGGCACCAAGTACATATGCGCCACACAAATCAAAATTGATTTGTGTGAGGGCTGTGATACTGCCCGGGTGCCCAAACCGAAGCAGGTGGTTTTCTTAGGGGGCCACACCCCGAGCCTTTGACCTGAAGATCTGATCCACAAGGCAGTGGAGCATCGTGAGGAGATGCAGTCCCATGGTAGCCGGTGACCAACGATTGGTTCATACGCCATTTGTTCCCGCAGGATACTGGAGCCCATGTGCACCATTGGTTTGGGGTCCGGTTAAAGCGCTGGACATTCGCTTTTCGTCCTCTCATTTTCGTAAACAACACCCCCGCCACGTGAAGGCAGTGAGTAGGACTTCCCTGGCAGGGGCTATGTACGCGTGGCCATGTGAGAGCATTTCGAGAGGGAGAGCGGACTCTCCCCACTCTCGGCCGTACCAGGGCATTTGGGGGGCAAGACAACGAAATTTAGGGGCGGTCAAACCAAAACATGACATCTGTGCTTGAAATCACTACTTTCTAGTATGAGCCATGTTGGTAGATGAAGACTACTTAGTTGGGGTCCGCGTGACTATCGTAAACGATGGTTGGAGTCTCTAGGTGACATGGTTCAGAATCGATCACAATGGCGTAGGTGTATACACTCATTGTCTTCCCCTAAACTGTGAGATTAAAATTGTTTTGTATCTTTCATTCTACCAACTAATTCTTTCTTCCTGTACTACATCCTTATATGTGATCTTTCTTTTATATATATTACCACCACTGACTTAACTACTATTAATCCGGTGTTTGTCTTGCTGTAATAATGAGGTATAGCAACTTGGACCGATGCATATATGTGCCTGGTCCTACGTTGTAGCTGACTGATTGACAATAGTTGAAAGAAGTCCTCAACCAAAACTAAATTAGGTTTAATCTGAACTAAATCTGAAAAATAATGCTACACAACCATATTTTACAATCAATTCTAAGTATTGAATTCATTTATTAAACTAACTGTTGGAAAGATCCAGAAAACTCTTCAAAAAAAGACCAAGAAAAACTCTGAAAACACTGAGAAGCATCTTATCCAATCAGCGTTCAGTAGAACTTTTGCCAGAAACATCAAGAAAGTGAAAAGTCACATGTAGAGTTTTTGATTGGATGATTACTTATACTAATACTATGTTTAGTAGCATTCCAGAATTTTCGGGAAACCCAAAAACATTTAAAATACTATAAAAACCCTATATTTTCTGTACAAAAACGAACCTTTGGAGTGAAGTGTTTCTTACATATTTCACACCTTTTCTCTCGTGTTCAAGTCACTGTGTAGATTTAACCTAAGGGTTACTAGAAGAACTTAGAAACCGAATATAGAGTTCTTTTAACAACACTTATCATTAACTTTTTACCGAAATAATAGATCGAATCTAAAAAGTGATTTACAAAAAAATTGAAATCAATTATTTCTCTAGACAACAAGAATATAAGATAGAAAGAAGAATGAAAACAACAACAGCGACAACAACAACAACAACAACTTGTCACATATTTTTTTCAACAATTATTCATAAACATCTGTTCATTATTATAATATTGTTATATATTATAGATGATACATATTCTATACTGGGACAGTTCAGCCTAGCAACTATACGAAAAATCACGCGATTTACTTTAATAATAATAATAATAATAATAACATAGTACTGCGACAAAAAAACAACACAAAATGGATTACTTTGAAATTTATCTCTGTATTTCATAACATCTGATAAAAGATAGTAATACTATTATGATTTATAAGCGGTAGACATGGTTACTAATACAAAAAAAACAGATGAATAAATCACAAAATCAATAAGTGTTCCATTTCAATAGATTACTTAAACTGTTCAAATAAGAAATTAAACTCTCTCTTTACTAATTATTCAACTGATGATAAGTATATATTTTAAAACAATCTAACATGATATTATTGTGTGTAAGGTTGTATTTCTGTGTGAAACTTAAAAAGAAGGAATGACTTAAATCTGGTACGGCCGATATTGCGGAAAAACAGCTCTATGTCTCGAAATACTCTGACATGACCACGCGCATATAACCACTACCAGGGATGTCCTATTCACAGCCTTCTCGCGACATTACTGTTGTTTACGAAATTGAGAGGACGAAAAGTGAATGTCCATCTCATTAACTGGGTTGGTGGATATGAAGGATCTACCTACGGGAGTTGGAAAACCCTCATTCAAAATCAATGATGTACATGGGCTATACGATCCTGAGCGAACAAATGGTGTATGAACCCATTATTGCTCACCGGCTACCATGCGACTGCAACTCCTCACGTTTATCCACTCCCTTATGGATTAGACATCTAGGTGAAAAGATCGAGGAGTCACTCACTAAGAAAACCACCTGATTCGGTTTCGCCACCCGGCCAGTATTCCATACATCACATATATCAAATCACCAAGTATGACACATATATATTTGCTGCCTCATTCTACCAATCTTCATATATTTAAATATATATCATAATATTAATAACACTTCTGAAAAAGGGGTTCTTGCCAATTTCACAAAGCCTTTTCACATTACACTGATACAAGCTTATTAACTAAGTGAAATCTAGAAGATAACGGACAAAATTCAAGCTGTTAGCACCAAAATCCATCTGATATTACATTAATACACGATAAGTGGGTCAAAGACCATGGACAACAACATATCCACACAAATCACCTCTCAAGCATGAATCAAATCAATCCTGAATGATCTAGTGTTCACAGGAATTTATTAGGAAAACTACCAAACACTGATGTAATACTCTGTAGTCTACAGTATCTGAACAATTGGAAACATTTGCCAAAACATACTGAACGGATGTTTGTTTGGTTATCACTCATATATAATAATGTATATAAGCAAATTAGTAAAACAATTTTATTATCGTTCCTTCTCACACTCCCCTTCTCCTATCAAAACTTCAAGTTAGGTAATGTAAGCAGTGAGTAAACACTTATGACTACAAATAAACCTGGTTTGCGTTCGCTCACTAATTGTTATAAGCCATCTTAGAATCGAATCTTAGGACACAAATATCTAGAGTATCAAGTGGGAAAAGCGTTGACATAGTGGAAGAGAAATCCGTGAAGCACAATAAAATTAAAGTTTAGAATAAAAATGAATAGTGAGTTGAAGATGCAACGAAATAGCGAAAGAAAACCAGGGGACTAATGAAAAAATATTTGATAATAATTATCATTAATAAACAACCACATATTTTAGTTATATCTCACCTGCATGGTTTACACCAACGATTTTGATGCTCTAAACCAAAACGTGCACGACATTTTTTAGCACTGCTTATATCTGTAGAGTTTGTATTACCTACTAATACAGAAAGTCTACTAGTACGCTCTTCATTTGAATCGGAATTGCCAAAATCTCCACCGGATTCCGAAGATAAGTGAATACCAGTATTACCAAGAGTTTTGCCACTAGTTGAATGAATTTTTGTTTGTGCAACAGCTGCTGCAGCTGCCAATTTTCGTTTTTTCTTACGTCTTGAATGTATAGCGTAATTATCTCTTGCTGACCAGCCAGGAAACAACTACAATACCAAAAAGAGATTAAGTAAAAAAAAAGTCTATTGTAATTCATAGAACACATAGAGCAGTCAGTCAGTCAGTAACAACGTGGAACTTCGTACGTACGTACATCAGTTCGAGTTGCCATACCACATTAGCACAGAGATTCAGTTATCGATTCAAATCCCATAGTGGTAGAGGTACTGAAAGTATAAGTAGAGATAGGGGACATTAAGGTTTGATGATGTTATTAAAGGAGTATAGTCCAGTGGAATAAATTGGGAAAGAAAATAAAGGACATGAAGAATTCAGAAGATTAGAGTTTGAGAGAACACAAAGAGTGGATGCACCTGCGCCATTGCAAACGATTTTGAGCCATGTCATTCAAGGTCTCTAACCATCGGTTGCTATCGTCTCGCGGTCCCCAACCAGGTAGTCTACACCTACCAACATGACTCAGTCCACTTGTCAGTGACTTCATGGATTTGTGCCATGTTTTGGTCTGGCCGCCCCTAGCTTTCTTCCAACCTACTCCCACACCATAAAACATAGCACGTCGACATAGAGCATATCTTATGCAACACTCTTTCGTACAGACACGCGGATGGAATATGACTTATATTAGTGGTGACAACAGTGAAACTTATTAAGCTAGTTTTCAAACACTTCAGGACAAAAATATTTCTGTTCTCCAGTAATAAGATGAAGTGACATTCTTCAGTGGATAAATCCTGATTGTATCTTATAGTTTAAGCAAAAAGGTACTGATAACAACAATCGTCACTAACTACTTAACACATAATGCTTTTTAGTTCAAGAAGTAGAATTCATTAGTGCTCGAAGACGCTTAAAAAACAACTCAAGAATATTGCTACTAAAACTTGATATATATATTGCTTGTTTGGATCTTCCCATTGATATTTAGGATTGTAACTGATCAGTCTCTTTTGACATATGTGTATCCTGTGCGGAATGTCTCAATATTGCCATTATGTCATAATCATTTTGAAAAGAGATGCATGGTGACTAACAGAGGAATCTGGAATGTATACTTTAACCTTATTTGGGACATGTAAGCTGGATGTACTCACATTTTAGTGCCGTCAGCTTCAAACACCATCACTTATGCACTTAGCGCACCCTGAATTCCACTGTTAGCCACCATTTATCTCTACTCAAAATGTTTGTGACCTAATGACAATTTTGAGGCATTCCACACAGGATGAAAATATGTTAAACGAGACTGATCAATAGCACATGTAAACGTCAATGGGAAGATCCAAATAACCAATATGTATATTACTTTAAAAATATTTAAACAGTCTTATAAAAATTCTAAGCCATGTAATTGTACTCCATGGAAAAGATAGCCATGATCCATTTTCTTGAAATACACTTTTATTATTATTATTATTATTATTATTATTATTATTATTATTTGAACAAAAATACTGGTACAAGGGGGCACCAGATACACATGCACCACACAAATATCATTTGATTTATGTGAGGGCTGTGATACTGCCCGGGTGCCCAAACCGAAGAAGGTAGATTTTTTAAAGGGCCACACCTGGAGCCTTCGACCTAAAGGTCTGATCCACAAGGCAGTGGAGCATCGTAGGGAGGTGCAGTCCCATGATAGCCGGTGACTGACGATTGGTTCATACTCCATTTGTTCGCTCAGGATCGTAGAGCCCATGTGTACCATTGATTTGGAATGAGGGTTTTCCAACTCCCCTTGGTAGACTCTCCGTGTTCACCAACCCGGTTAAAGCGCCGGACATTCACTTTTCATCCTCTCAATTCCGTAAACATTGCCACAAGAAGGCTATATGCGCGTGGCCATATGAGGGCGTTTTGAGATGGAGAGCTGTTTCTCCACATTCTCGGCTATACCAGGGCATTTGAGAGCAAAGCCGTGGCGTCCATAGAAAAAAATCCATTGTCTATTTCCTTGAAATACACAAGCATCTTCTTAGACATACACACATAAGATCATTTACTATACCAATAACATATTACCTATTAACCATACATAGCTAATATATATATATATATATATATATATATATATATATATATATATCATCTACTAGAAGTGATCTGTGCAATCATCTATCGACCAATGTACAATATAGAAAATGATTATAATAGAATTATAAGACCATTATTCGTTCTATTATAGTTACTATTAATAATAACAATAATAATAATAATAATAATAATAATAATAATAATAATAACTGTAATATATACCGATAGTAACAATGATAATTATAGGTTTTGACAGAGAAAATAAAGAATAAAAAGAAGAACAAATCATTTAGTAATAATGATATTTAGATATAGAAATATACATAGATAGATATAGATATGGATATAGATATAGATACATAATACTTATCTACCTGATGATGAAGTTCTTTTTCTTTTCTAGCTAATTCATAATATTTTGCTTGTTTTTCACGTGATAATTCATGCCATTTTTTGCCTAGAATTTGATTAATTGCTGCTGATTCTTTTAATGTACATTCTTCTTGTACTTTTGGTCGCATATCTTTCATAAATAACATGAATGCATTTAAAGGTTTTTTAATATGAACACGTTTAGTTGAAGTTGAATTAGATGTTGGATTTATTATTTGTTGTTGATGAGGTTGATTACAATTATCCTTATTATTATGATGATGATTATGATTACTTCTATTATCAACATCATCATCATCATGATCATCGTCAAAACTACTTGTCTCATTATGAGTAGTAGTGATAGTAGTAGAATTTTTGCCTTTATTATTATTATTATTAGTAGTAGTAGTAGTATTAGTAGTAGTAGTAGTAATAGTACATGTAGTGGATGTCAAAGTAGACAATTTTAAAGGATTTACTCCAAGAGGACTAGAATACATTCGATTATTACACATTTGATATTGGGATCCTAATGTATTATCTATTGATAATTCAGGAGAATTCCTTTGAAAATTATAACAAACTGATGGATTAACAAAACATGTAGATGGAAAAGAAGTTGGCAATGAATTTGTAGATGTAATTATTTCTGAATGTTTCATAACTGAAGGATCATTAATTGATTTGTGAAATCTAGTGAACAATAAACACACACAAAAAAAGAAGAATAAAAAGGTTATACAGGTAAACAATCTAAACATCTCTTTATATTTTTACAACGATTAATTTTGTCAATGATGAATAAATGTGATTATTCGCATATGTATTGTTTTGTTTTTGATTGACATCATGATGTTAAACCACCGTTGAAAACCTGGAAGCAGTGGACAGCGGTTTCGTTCTATTGCAGGACTCTTCAGTGGCGCGCACCCACAATAGGACGAAACGACCATCCAGTAACTTCCAGGTTTCCAACGGTGGTCTAACATCAATCGGTTCAAGTTCTCAATCAAAAACTTAATAATCTCCACAAACCCTATACTGGTATTGTTTTGTGTTGAATCCACTAGGAGACCAGAGAAAACTAAGAATTGACTGAGTAATTCACTTCATTGTAAAACATTGTAAATCATCTGCCAATTACAAGTTAATGTATATGGCATCGAGAAAATGCCTTGTAGGATCTATTGACGACACCTAAATCATACTGTGGGTTTTAACAACTGATGTGGAAGTTCTGACATACCCGCGCATATGAAACAGATTATAGAAGTTCAATTCACCGCTTATAAGTAACGAACAAAATTGAATAATAAACAACGTATATTGCGGTGGTAAACACAATCGGCAGGTGACAGTCTTCAATATCAAGAAATCACAGAAGCGAAATTCTAAAATTATAGTTCTTAGGATTTATTTTAAGAGGAAGATTTTAGACTTGTTTTATTATCTGAATTGAATGAATCAATCGACTAAAACATTCACATCAGAAAACATAATTTCTAAAGCGATTTTCTCAGTACAGATACAGAAGGCTCAACTAGCTTTTGCCAACTTGCGTCATTTATGATGTAGGTGAGATATCCGTCTACCAACCAAAGGACGGGATTACTACGCAGCAGTTCGTGCAGTCTTACTTTATGGCAGTGAAACATGACCGGTAAGAGTAGAGGATATTCGTAAGTTACTAGTATTCGATCATAGGTGTCTTAGAAACACTGCTCGTATATTTTGGGACCATCGAGTAAGTAACGCAGTTGTTAGAAAACGGGTACTAGGTAAGAGTGGCAAGTCACTTGATGAAGTAGTGAAACTTCATTAGTTGAGATGGCTGGGACACGACTTACGTATGCCCAACGACCGACTGCCCTGACGTACGATGTTAAATGATATAGGAGTAGGTTGGAAGAAAGCTAGGGACGACCAGACCAAAACATGGCACAAATCCATGAAATCACTGACAAGTGGATTGAGCCATGTTGGTAGGTGTAGATTACCTAGTTGGGAACCGCGAGATGATAGCAACCGATAGTTAGAGACCTTGAATGAAATAGCCCAAAATCGTTTGCAGTGGCGTGTGCAGGTGCATCCACTTTTTGTGTTCTCCCGAATTCTAATCTTCTGAATTCTTTATGTCCCTTTCTTATTTCTCTTTCCGAATTTATTTCACTGGATTATACTCATTGAATAGCAACTTCAAACCCTAATCTTTCCGATTACTCCTTATACTTTTACTACCTCTACTACAACGGGATTTCAATCGACAACTGCATCTCTGTGTTAATGTGGTATGACAACTCGAACTAATGTACGTACGTACGAAGTTCCACGTTGTTACTGACTGACTGACTGACGAAAGCGATTTAAGTTGGTGGATAAAGTAAGCGCCTTAGCTTATAAACATAGAAATCAGACGTGAGCTCACAAATGGGACTGAACTTTATTTATTTATTTAAACACATAAATATTGGTACAAAAAAGCACCAAATATATATGCGTCACACTTCGTTATTCGATTTGTGTGTGTACTGTGATACTGCCTGGGTGCCCAGATCGAAGCAGGTGGTTTTATTAGGTACCCACACCCGGAGCCTTCGACCTAAAACTCTAATCCACAAGGCAGTAAAGCAAGGTAAGGAGTTTTAATCCCGTGGTAGCTGGTGACCAACAATAGGTCGTACGGAGGCGTTTGGGGGCAATGGGACTGGACGGATTGATAAGGTGAAAAAGAGCTGAAAAAAAAAGAAACTGTCAACAAATACGATTGTTTTCTCTCACTCTCTGTGTCAATAAAGAACTTCTAACTAAATTGCAGAAATATTGGATAATAACAACTGACATATGACTGAGAAGGAATCACTATATAACGAGAACAGAGCGCTAACATTACCTTTGAAACATACCTATAACTACCGTAGTAAAGTATGAAAATCTAAATTTCACTTACGTATTATGAGATGATGCGCATACATTATCAGTGGTTGAACCAAAAGACTTAAATGGTTTTAAATGACCAGAAATTTGATGAGCAACATTATCTGTGGTATTTGTATGACGTAGTTTAAGTTGGGAAGCAGTAAAAGAGAATGATGGCTCTTGTGAAGTCGATACTGAAGATGATTGTATAATATCAAGGTGTGATGAAATGGAATGTTGTAAATTTGAATCGACTGAATTATTACGGGATAGTATTGGTGATAGACTACTACTGTTATGTAATGAAGATAATTGAGGGACAGGAGTCGGAGATGATGATGATGACGCTGATGAGTGAACTGCTGCAGCTACTGCTAAACTTGAAAGAAAATGGACATGAGCTGCTGCTGCAGCCGCCGCCGCGGCAGCTGCTGCCGTAGCACGTTGAGAACAATCAGTGAATAAACTAGTTTGGAAGGAAAGAAAAAAATGCAGAATAACATAAACTTGAGGGAAACTGTTTTTGAATTACCAACTGAATAACTTAAAACATAATTTAAAAAAAAGTGATAATTCGACAGGATGGAACTAACCTACGGTTTAACTGATTTTCTTCTGAATCTGATTTTACCGATAAGTCAGTAGTCCATGTTGATGTAGACGATCCTAATCTTCTTTGAGAATCATATGAAAGACCTTGTTCACTAAAAGAATTCGATGGAATAACAAGTCGTTCATTATGAATTAATTTATTATTGCTATTATCTAAACTTGAAAATTCTGTAAAGTGTTTATCGGTAAAATTATTATTTTCAGTTTTAATTTGAAAATTCATTGATGAATTAAATTGATCTAATTTGGAACCAGTTAATGTACATGAACGTGAAGACAAATTTGTCGATATTGATTTAGTGGAAGGACGTAAACTATTACCAATGATCATATTATCAGAAGCGGTATTATGAATATTAATTGAATTATCAATATTTAATGGTAGAGTATTGGATATTGATTGATTATTACTGTTAGTGCATAATGATAATAAACTATCATGAGTAAAGGAATGATGATATGGATTCTGATTTGACAAAAGTCGTTGATTTGAATTATTAATTTTATATAAATCTGAAATTTAATTAAATCACAAAGAAACAAAATTAGATATATGTGTATACAAAAACAATGAAATGAATAAGATTGTGTACGAAAAAAAAAAACATCAAATGGAACGATGTATATATATTGCTAACTCAACAAAAGAGGCATTAGGATTGTAAAAAAAACTTAAAATTTGTTATTTCGTATATATATTTATCTGTTGTCCCTCGAATGCCCTGGTACGGCCAAGAGTGAGGAGAGTCAGAACATCCTCTCCAAATGCTCTCACGTGACCACATACAACCAATCACTACCAGGGAAGTCCTACTCACTGCATTCTCGCGGCATCATTGTTGTTTACGAAATCGAGAGGAAGAAAAGTGAATGTCCGGCGCTTTAACCGGGTTAGTGGACATGCAGAGTCTACCAACGGGAGTTGAAAAAGCCTCATTCCAAATCAATAGTGCACATAGGCTCCAGTATCCTGAAGGGACAAATGGCGTATGAACTAATCGTCAGTCACTGACTATCAAGGGACTGCATCTCCAGACGTTGCTCCATTGCCTTGTGCATGAAACCTTTAGGTCAAAGGATCCAGGTGTGGCCCACTAAGAAAACCACCTGCTTCGGTTTTGGCACCTGAGCAGTATCCCAGACCTCACACAAATCGAATGATTTATGTGGCGCATATGTATTTAGTGCCTCCTTTTACCAATGTTTGTGTTTAAATATATAAATAAAATAAATTTAACCTTTGGCTCATTGGTTCAAATCTCAGTTCTACTCACTAAAACGTTGATGAGATATAAATAATTTAACAACAGATGTAGAAATCACAATTGATGAGCTCTGATGGAACTGTCGGTACTAGAATTTTTACTTCTATGATATTTTGAACCTTTAATTCAACTCAAAATGGCTTGAATCATTTCGTTGTTGATATTTTGACTGACACTTGATCAACTTTGGTTGATATGTCCTATACGGTTAGTCAGTCAGTCAGTCTAACCGCACTCAAGATCCATCCTGTACGGACTGCCACGATATAGCCATTATGACACAAGTTATTATAGAATAGATGGAATGTGGCTGACGGTCACAAATAGGAAGAAACACGTATCTTGAATGACACTGCTAGCAGCGTTCCGTCTATTACTATATTATTTTCGATCTTTGATTATTAATTAACTCAAGATCTGCATCGAGTTTCTAAATAAGACAATCGATATAAGTTTACCAGGAAATTTATTTTGATTATGTTTAAACTACATACTTTGATCTACAACATCGCAACTCGATGTAGGCAGTGACATAATACGCGCAGCACATGTCACAATCGTCATAGGTGGTACAGTTCCATAGAAATATAATTTTAACATTGTTTTTATTAATACTACGACGAACTATAACAGTTAATGTATGAAAAATGTATGACTTCCAAAAATTGTAGCATCAGAACTAAATCATTACATAAATTAGAAGATGGAAACAAAATATACTGGGTCGAAACTTATTGATTTCTAAGTAATAACCAACGTTATATATCGGACGGATTTTATTGATCGAGGAGTTGTAACGCGATCACTAGTCTAAGTGACACGAATTGGTATCCATCAGTAAAGTGTACATATAATCTTGAAAGAACAGAGGCTTCTTTAGTCGTTCCCAACTAGAATGAGACCTAAGTCTACAATTTCTTGACGACTACCCTCAATTATCTAACATCAGAACATTGTGTGAAGCGAAATCATGTCGGAGAGGCTATCTATGAATTCGGGAAAAAATGAAAAAGCAAAAGACTTTCAAAGATATCAGAAAGTAATTCAACACGAACAAATGACAGTAAACAGCTTAACTATACACAAAAAACATAGCATAAGTAGGGAGGAGAATTGATACCCACTTGCTGCTTTTATTAACTCTGAATGAAATGCAGCTGCCGCTGTAGCGGATGTGGACGACGGCGATTGACTGAGGGCGGCTGCTGCCGCTGCCGCTGCGGCTACAGCTATAACAGAAGACGATGATTTATTTTGTGGAGATAAATTATCATAAACATTAAAATTGGATAACGAAGGATTAGGAGTTGGAATTCTAAAAGGCACAGGTGAATGAACACTTGGTTGTGGCCAAGATGTTGATTGCAATTTTGGACTAGATGAACCAGATGATACAGCTGCAGCCACTGCAGCTGCTTGTAAAGCGACACTGTAGAATGGTCCAGCCATGAAAGCACTTAACGATGGGGAGAGTCCACCAAAGGAAGGAAAAATTGGAGAAACACAACTAGTTTGACAACCAGAAGCAGACTGAAACTGTAAAAAGATAGAGAAAAACGTGGTCAAAAAAATAATAGTTTCCGTGTTTGGTGAAAGACTTTATGTTTTAAAAAAAGTAGCAAACAAGCTATTATGTTCAAATAACAAAAGATACTTATAGTCTCATTGGAAAATCAATGTGCATCTATCAGTTTACTTGCTCACATGGAGTAAGTTGTATTGGCTGAACAAACCGAGCTCTTTTGAAGTGCACCTCCGAACACCACCCTGCCTAGCTATCTAATGTATTACAAAAGTCTAATCTTGGAAAATTTAGTTGATTCCCGTTACTCCGTTTCATTAAAATCCCCCTTCAAAATCATACACACAGTCAGCAGAATCAGGTCAAAAAGAATACAGATGGGAAACTTATGTACAGTAGAGGCCATAGCTATTCATCAGTCGAAGTCTAACTATTACGTGCAATAACAGTGTGTTCTATCCTTCATTTTTCTTAAACTTTCTTTATATTTTCCACGATTAATCTTTTATCTATACGCTTTAACAACCGTTAATTAGATTGGTATCACGAATGGATGAATGTTAGACCACCAATGAAAACCTGAAAGCAGTGAACAATCGTTTCGTCCTAGTATGGGACTCCTCAGCAGAGCACATCCACGATCCTGTACCAAACGGACTCCAATCTAGGACCTTTGAGCTCGCGTGCGAACGCTTAACCTCTAGGACAAAACAACCGCCTAGTTGCATCCAAGTTTTTAATGGTGGTCTAACATTCATCCATTCATAATATCAATCAAAGCTCGACAATCTACACAACCCTATACTGAAAACTATTGATTAGTCATTATTAAAATCATTAATTGTTCTATTCTTAATAACTACTAATTGAACAATTACCGTGTGTTCACTAGTAACTAGCTTCGTGAGGGAAGTCTCGGAGTTCTAGTGAGAAGCCATGACCAGTGAAGCTAATCCGTGTCGGGTAGAGACAGGTATCTACCTCAGTACACTGGAAGATGGTTGCGCAATTTCATAGATTGGTTAAAGTTAAACATAGACACCGTTCTCATTTATACATATACCACTATAATCTTAAGGAAATGAATCTATTTATTAACTAATGAAATACGTTTATCCTTTAGATCAGTTCTGATGATTATTAGTTAACATTGTCCGTAGACTACTTCTGATTGTCTTATCATTATCAAGATTGATTAAAGACAATATAATGTAATGATAAATATAATAAATTGCATTAGGTATTAGATATCTAAAATCTTTAAACATGACTAGTTGATAAGAGAAACACTTTTATATTATCTGATTGCAATAGAAGTGACTTCAATGATAAAAGAATATGAAAAGTGTTCTGAAATATTGAAAGCATACATGATGGAATAATACAACTAAACCTGAACACTTAACTCTAAGCAACTTTAATAACAAACGGGAAAGTAAATATTTTGGTGAATATTTAATTAATTTAACGCTGATTCGAAACCAATGGTGGACATAGGCTCCAATATCCTGAGGGAACAAATGGAGTATGAACTAATCGTTGGTCACTGCATCTCTTTACGTTGCTCCACTGCCTTGTGGATCAGACCTTTAGGTCAACTGCTCCAGGTGTGGCCCACTAAGAAAACCACCTGCATCGGTTTGGGCACCCGGGCAGTATCACAGCCCTCGCACAAATCAAATGATATTTGTGTGGCGCATATGTATTTGGTGCCTCCTTGTACCAATATCTATATGTTCAAATAAATAAAATAAATATGAAGTTATACATTGACATCGTTGTTGAATTCCGGTTCAGTGATTTCAAGTTTAAGCGTTCACGTGTAAAATCGAATGTGTTAAGTTTGAATTCCGTATGCAAGATCGTGAATACACACTGCTGATCGGAACACAAATTAGCTCATAGACAAAATGAAACCATTAAACAACTTAACCCATATAGCATTACCTTGATACTTTTAATATTAGCTAATCTTAAATGCTGTAACCAATCTATCATTTCAGGAATTTGAATATATACACTATTATTGACAAGTCTATTAGTTGTATGTCCAGTGAGTCAAGATTATTCCAGACTGACAATATACAACTCATGAATATTATTATTATTATAAATGATCTTGTTTATTTAAATACTGGAAGACAATTTAAGATGGTATCATTTTATTAATAAACAGTATATACTATAGTTTTCATAATTTTGCAATATTGATAGACACAAGAATGGTGTGTTCACTATTGTTTATTTTTATTTTTATTCTTGTATTAAAATAACCAATCACATGATAAACTTTAATAGACAATAGTAGTCATAGTAGTAGTAGTAGTAGCAGTAGTAGCAGTAGTAGTAGTAGTAGTAGTAGTAGTAGTAGTAGCAGTAATAGTAGTAGTAGTAGTAGTAGCAGTAGTAGTAATTGTAATCCGAACACGAATACACTAATTAAGTTATTTTCTTTATTGAATTCATTTATAATTTATAGTTCATTAGAGAAATGATTATATAATAGACACAAAGATAGATAGTTGATTTTATATAATTGTAAACATAGATTTTTTGAACAAACAATGATTTAGAATGTAATTGAAACAAAAAGTAAGATGACACTGTATGAAATAAGACACAAAATAATAAATATACATAAAATCTTACCCGATTTGTTAAAGGATTAGCACATCGTAATACAGAATCGTCTGTATTTAAACTAGTTAATGTTTCAGTGTGTTGTGATTTCCTTCCTTCAGTAGTTATATGAGTTGACCTTTCAAATGTATCAGATCCACAAGAATGTGGTGATGACAATGATGAAGGAGGATAGGAGAATTGATTTGGAATATCTTGACCCTGTTGATGAGCGGCCGCTGCAGCAGCAGCTGCGGCCGCCACAGCTGCAGCGGCTGCAGCATATGAAGAAGCATTGACAGGAAATGATGAAGAACCGGTAACAAATGGCAATGGAAAAACTAAAAATGGAAGTGAATGCATATATATTTTGAGTTACATAAACGAAAAAAAAAAAGTCAAAATTAAACTTTATAAAATCAAAGAAATATTAATTATAAATTGTTGCAAATAGCTAGAAAGTTTTAATTATCGTAGATTTGAAAAATAATAAACGTAAACATTAGTTTATCCACCAAGATCAAAAGTGTCAACTTATACACTTTATGATTACACGATCTAAATCATGGCTTCAAGAAATCACAATTCCAAGAACAAAAAATAACGTACAAATGATGTGTTAGCTTATTATGTTGAAGTAAAACTTCTACTATCCATTTAAAATAAACACAGATACATAAACGAATAAGGAAATCGAAGACAGGGAGAGAGAGAGAGAGAGAGAGAGACAAACTAAAATATAAATTAAAATACATAGAATGTTATAAATGAAATATATAGCCATCCTATGAAAAGACTATATTCACAATATAGTCACAATGAAGAAAACTCAACTTAAGATTACTTTTTTCATATAAACTATGAGTATACAATGACAAGGTAATAAATCGATGACAGAAAGAGAAAGAAAGCGAGAGAGAGAGAGAGAGAAAAAAAAAAAAGAAAAGAACATTAACACTTGATAGATCAAGTGAAAATCAAAGAAAAATATATGAGAATAAATACTACTGAAATAATAAATGAATATAGAAACAAGACGGAACGAAAACACAGTAGAGACAGAAGCATATATATATATATATATATATATATATATAGCCATAGAGAGAGATGAAAGATAGTTGAAGAATATACATAGGATAGAATAGGAGACAAAGATAGAAAGAAAAAAAAATACCACGTGCTAAAAGAAAGAAATAATAATCTAAGGGAAATAAGTACAATATAATTTATCATAAAAATTTGATATTAATGATGACAATTGAAAAGAGGAAAGAGTAAAGGATATGTTTGTTTGTTTTTCTATTGAAAGACAAAATTGATAATCATTTTGGAAGAATATTTAGATCGGTTTGAAATCAATAACATTCCTCCTCCTCCTCCTCCTGTTTTTTTTTTCTTTCTTGGAAAAGATTATTATAAGCAAATAAATCTTGAATAAAATACTTTAACTTACTAGATATAAAAATATGAAATAGATTAGATAGTTTATACATAGATTTATGAATGAATTAAAGTAACACATATTCATAAATTACAATTTGATATTAGAAAAAAATTAATCAATCTCTGACATTGATATAAATGAAATTCAATAGATAAAGTAACTTTATGAATGCCCCCAAATGCTCTGGTATGGCCAAGAGTGGGGTGAATTCGCCCTCCCTCTTGAAATGCTCTCATCACACGATCACGAGTATATAGCCTCTGCCAGAGAAGTCCTACTCACTGACTTCTCGTCGCATTACTGTTGTTTACGAAAATGAGAGGACGAAAAGTGAATGTCCAGCGCTTTAACCGGATCCCAAATCAATGGTGCACATGGGCTGGCTCCAGTATCCTGAAGGAACAAATAGCGTATGAAACAATCGTTGGTCAACGGCTACCATGGGACTGCATCTTCTTACGATGCTCTGCTGCCTTGTGGGTTAGACCTTTAGGTCGAAGGCTCGGGGTGTGGCCCCCTAAGAAAACCGCCTGCTTCGGTTTGGACACCCGAGCAGTATCACAGACCACACACAAACAACATGAAAATTTGTTTGGCGCATTTATATTTGGTGCCCTCTTGTACCAATAAATAATAACCCTATGAATAAATACATATAATAGTGTAAAACATTTAAAACAAAGCTGATTAGTATTAAAGATGGTTGGAAAAAAGTTAGCGGTGGTCAAACCAAAATGTGGCATCAGACATTGAAGTTACTAACTTCTAGTCTGAGCTATGTTGGTAGATGTTGACTACTTGGTTACGGTCCATGTGACTATCATAACTAGTGATCGGAGACTGGGTGACATGGCTTAGAATCGATCAGAATGGTGTAGGTGTATACACGCTGTTCGTCTTTCCTTAAACTATGAGATTAAAATCGCTTTGTACCTTTCTTTCTATGAACTATTTTTTCCTCTCTCTATCATATCCTTACATGCAATCTTTCCAATGAAGTAACTGTTTCTATAAATTTGATGTTCGTCTTGTTGTGCTAATGAGGTGTGGCAACTTGGACCAATGCATATATGTGCGTGGTGCTACGCTGTAGCTGACTGACTGAGCACAATAGACAGTTTTATTTCACTGAAGAAATTTTAGCGCATGGTACAAAGCATAGGTCATCACAATCCACCTATGTGAAGATTTAAGATGTCTTCAAGGCCACTCGTACTTCTGAAGGGATAGTGGTAATTGTTGGAAAATATTTAAATAAATTGCAAGTCTATGCTCATGAGTAGGCTTTTGAGTTCTAGTAAACAAATGACTGGCAAGAAATATCTTTGTACATAAGTAGAAGTTTCCTATTTCCTTGATAGTCTTTGAACAAACTACCCTAACTCAAGCTCTCATGTTTGCGTGGCATATTCACGGAATCACTACTTGTTAAGCCTTAACCTTACCTAGGGCAAACCAAGTAGTTTCCTTAAGTGACTATCAGTTTTCTGATCTTTATAAACTGAAATTTCCAATTGAGATATTTATTAAAAAGATGAGTGGGGTGAGAAGTTATTGCGCGTTAATTGAAAAGAAATGCTTCTTCTTATTTGCACTTGATTTTACTGTAATGTACAGGTCAAATTATGTCAAATATTTCTATCATGCCTACAATGGTAGTGGTGGCCGAGTTAAAGCACGAGATCAGTCTATGTAAGCATCCTTGTCTGTTGGTCTAAGTAATGCTGGTAACTCCAGACTACCTGGTAGGGGTCTGAGGGTAATTGTAATTGAAACATAAAATCTAAATCGGTATAAAACATTATAATCTTAATTTGAATAAAGCGACCAAGATGTACAATGAATCATTTCTATACTTGATAAAGTGATCAAATCAACTTAACTGGATATATGAACATAGAAATACAATATTTATTAGGAATCAGGTATATCCAGTTGATAGGGATTTGAGATGGAAGAATATAAATTCATATTCTGAACAAATTTATCCAAAACAATTTACAACTGATGGGATACAATACAAATATCCAGACAGTTCTACTGTATGGGGTGGAAACCTGGAGAACTACGAAAGCCATCATCCAGAACATAAAAGTGTTTATTAATAGTTGTCTACAAAGTGTTGCTCACGAAATTGAAAGGATGAGAAGTGAATGCTCGTCGCTTTAACCGGGTTGGTGGATTCAGAGAATCTACCTAGGGGAATTGGAAAACCCTGATTCCAAACCAATGGTCACACGGGTTCCAGAATCCTAAGGGAACGAATGGAGTATGAACCTATTGTTGATAACTGGATACCATGGGACTACATTGCCTAATGTTGATCCACTGCCATGTGAATTAGATCTCTAGGATAAAAGCTCGGGATATAACCCCTTAATAAAACCACCTGATCCGGTTTTGGCACACAAGTAGTATCTCAGCCTGCACACCAGTCAGTCAGACAGTAACAACGTAGAACTTCATACGTACCTACATCAGTTCGAGTTGCCATACCACATTAACACAGAGATGCAGTTGTCGATTCAAATCCCGTTGTGGTAGAGGTAGTAAGAGTATAAGCAGTAATCGGAAAGATTAGGGTTTGAAGTTGCTATTCAATGAGTATAATCCAGTGAAATAAATTTGGAGAGAGAAAAAGAGGACATGAAGAATTCAGAACACAAAGAGTAGATGCACCAGCGCCACTGCAAACAATTCTGAGCCATGCCATTCAAGGTCTCCAATCATCGGTTGCTATCGTCTCGCGGATCCCAACTAGGTAATCTACACCTACCAACATGGCTCAGACCACTTGTCAGTGATTTCATGGATTTATGCAATGTTTTGGTCTGGTCGTCCCTAGCTTTCTTCCAGCCTACTCCTATATCATTTAACATCGTACGTCGGGGCAGTCGGGCATACGTACCACGTGTCGAAGAAAAGAACACTTACGTGAATGGTAATAATCATCTAGAGATAAGAATCCAAAATTGAATGATCCTTTCTGTGTACACTATAAAAAAGAAGATAAAATTCTATTATGACTTGATGTTAAACTGGTGACGAAAATTTTATAAATATCATTATATCAATAATGTTAAACAGAAGGACACATGACAGAAATGAAGTACTATCTTCTTCCAAAGATCCAATAGATCCTAATTTATGTTGATAATTTACTGAATCGAAAAAGAGAGACAGAGAAAGAATATTATCAATGCCAAAAGATGACTGGAATAATCATGTGATTGTATATTGATACTATTTTAATGAATAAAGACCTGGGCAAGGTATTGTATGATGTAAAATCATACTACATTTATAAAGTATGAAAACAATACATTGAACATATAATTTGCATATTTTCTTTAAATTGTCCCTTCATTCTTGTTGCTACTTGAACTGATTCTGTTTTTTTTCTTTCTCTTCTCTCCATGTTTCTTCTTAGTCAGTAAGAATCCTATTTCTAATTCCCAATATATACCACTTATATCTGTCTTTATAAGTAGCACACACCACACTAGATTATATAAACCGAATATTAACACTCTTACGAACGCTATCACACTGAATGTTGAGGAGATCCAGAAAACTCCTCGAAAAATAAGCCAAGAAATGCTTTGAAAACACTGAGAAGCATCTTATCCAATCAGCGTTCAGTAGAACTTTTGCCAGAAACATCAAGAAAGTGAAAAATCACATGTAGAGTTATTGATTGGATGATTACTTATACTACTACTATATTTAGTAGCATTCCAGAATTTTCGGGAATGCCCAAAAACATTTAAAATACTATAAAAACCCTATATTTTCTATACAAAAATGACCCTTTGGAATGAAATGTTTCTTATGTAGTTCGGGCGTTTTCTCTCGTGTTCAAGTCACTATGTAGATTTAGCCTGGAGATTACTAGAAGAGCTTAGGAACTGAATATAGCGTTCAATTAGCAAGACTTATCACTGAATAGTAGAAAAATTGAACCAAGCTATTGTATCCATACAGGATTATTACTAAGTATACACAATATACGTTATATGTTTATCACTAATAGTTTTTTTAAGTTGACCTAGACTAATTTAAGGAACATACGGTAGCAATTTACCTAGTAATATATATTTTTGAGAATAAACATTTAAAAAATAATAATAAAACAAGAAGAAACATATGCCAATTTTATTAATAGTTCAAGGCACTACATTTTAAATACGCAATGATCATATATACATGTCATTTACATTTGAAGTTACAGTGAAATATAATTCTTACTATATAAATGAACTAAAATAATGAATTACTGTGAATAAGATTAAACCATGAAAAAGTATATTATTCCAATGTATTACATTCTCCAATAATGCACGTGAGTTCCAGGATCCTGAGAGAACAAATGGTGTATAAACCAATTATTGGTCACTGGCTACTATGGAACTATATCTCTCTACATTGCTCCACTTCCTTGTTGATCAGATTCTCCAGGTCGAAGGTTCCGGGTATGACTCCCTAGGAAAAACACCTGCTTCGGTCAGTATCATAGCCCACACACTCGAATCAAGTGATTTGTGTGGTGCATATATATTTGATACCCCTTTGTACCAATATTTATATGTTTAAATAAATTAATAAAATAACATCATGGTGATTAACCATTAATTTTAAAGAAACCTTTCAGATTATATTATAGAGAATGATTTGATAAGTGAACAAAATTTGTAAATGTTAAAATGACTGAACACAATCGTAAATGATACATAAAATGTAATAATATAATATAATCGAGTAATAACCGATTATAAAATTGGATTATTATCCTTGAAGTATTAAATAATTGAATTCGTTTCTACCAAATTAGATAGTTTCTTTTTATCCAAAATTAGTATGATCAATTGTAATGAGTAAATCAACAAAACTTTATTCCGATATAATCAATAATACTTATCACTGATATTATAAAAGCTTTATTTTAATGCCCAATTAGATAAAGAATATAAACAAAAAGAAAAAATATTTCATCGGATAATAAAACAGACGATCAGTTGCTGAGATTCACATGAACAGAGTGACTATAACTGTGACCAACCTAAAAGGTATATATATATATATATATATATATATATATATATATATATATATATTCCGCTTGTAGGGAAGTTATAGTAATTTGCATTTATTTTTGACAATCATATCTATTTCTAATAACATGAAACGGTAAAAAAAAATATTAAGCCATGGAATAGAAAGTAAGAATACATTTTGGATAATAATGATAAAGATTAGACATTTGTATGTATTTATCAAGATTTAGAATACTTTAGCTAATTATTAACAAGATATCATACTGAAAAAAAGTACGGGAACATCTCTTCTTCTATCGAAACAAATTCTTAAATAGAATGCAGACAACAAAAAAAAAAACGAACTCACTATATAGCTACACATATAGCTAAGAATTAAACTTCAAGAGTGTTATTCTAGCAGAATTAACAAGACTAGTTTAAATATAAATGCCCTGGTACGGCCGAGAGTGGGGAAAGTCCTCCCTCCCTCTCGAAATGCTCTGATCACACGACCACGAGTATATAGCCTCTGCCAGAGAAGTCCTACTCACTGACTTCTCGTCGCATTACTGTTGTTTACGAAAATGAGAGGACGAAAAGTGAATGTCCAGCGCTTTAACCGGATCCCAAATCAATGGTGCACATGGGCTCGCTCCAGTATCCTGAAGGAACAAATAGCGTATGGAACAATTGTTGGTCGACGGCTACCATGGGACTGCATCGCCTTACGATGCTCCACTGCCTTGTGGGTCAGACGTTCAGGTCGAAGGTTCGGGGTGTGGCCCCCTAAGAAGACCACCTGCTTCAGTTTGGGCACTCGGGCAGTATCACAGCCCTTACACATATCAAATGAGGTCTGTGTGGCGCATATGTATTTGGTGCTTCCCTGTACCAATATCTATGTGTTAAAATAAATAAATGAATTATATATATGACCAAACCAGCTTCCAACTGAACAGGAAATTAGGAAAAGACGATAGAAATGGATAGGACATACATAATGCAAATAATCAAACTGCATCACGAGGCAAACCCTAACTTGAAATCTTGAAGGGAAGCGGAAAAGAGGAAGACCAAAGAACACATTACATCAAGAAATGGAATCAGATATGAAAAGGATGAATAAAAACTGGAAAGGATTGCCCAGGACAGGGTTGGATGGAGAATGCTGGTGAACGGCCTATGCTCCTTCACAAAAAGTAACAGGCGTAATTAAGTAAATAATATATATAGATATATATCCTAATATGCATTGTATGCTGATAGTATCCAACTGTAAAAGAGAAGAACTTAAAATTTTAGCTCCCTAATTCAATATTTTACATTAGTTTTTCCTTTCAAACTCAGTTGTATCATTTACGGTTTCACGGTCGATTAGTTAAACATTTGTATATATATACATATATATATAACTACTACTTATTATATCTGACGTTTTATTAATTCGTAAATATGAAAGTGCGTATATTGCACTAATATTTCATAGGATATAAAAGTTTTAAATGAGTGACTGCGTCATTTCATTCGGTAATCAATTCCCTTTTATTATCTACAAATTGATGTTTTAAAAATGTACAGCATTATAATGAATACTTTTACCAAAATGAGATAGTTGAAATTATCATTACATCTTAGAGATATACATTTCTTTAAAGAGTTAGTGTACTAAGGATATACTAAGTCAGTCAGTTGTACACAAAAAAGAACCTAGCATATGTGTGCATCCATCTTACTTGTTATACGAGATGAAGTTATCAACGTGAATACCCGAGTAGTATAAGTACTAGTAGTGATAGTATCTGTGATAGTAAAAAAAATGATCAGGCACATAGAATATAATATGAGAAGTAAGTAAAAATTATAAAATAATTTTAAAACTCAGATCCTAAAGGAAGAAATGAACTGAATGCATCTGCCAATTAGTGATTAATTTAAAACCTTGTTATTCAACGTCTACAGCCATTTATCACAACAAACCCTCAAACCTCTGCCAGGTAGTTTGAGCCTGGTGCCAACCATTAAGGTTGATCAGATTTCTAAGATAAGTGAAGTTGTCGACACGTTCGATCACTTCACTCCTTATCCTTAGTTCAGGTGTTGACACACGCCAGTCCTGAAGCAACAATTTGCAGTAAGAAGGAAAAAAAATGCATTCCAAACATTGCACTAAGCTTCAACGATGATATTTTATAGACAGTCAAGAAGTTTGTGTGACAGACGAGATAAATTCACTTATAGTGAAAAACAAAATACCATTATTCTATATGAAAAAATAGTCACGTCAGTCACTGTAAACGAACGCATATACTATTTGGCAAAGAGAGGTGTTTTAATTAATGCTTAGATTATACTTTACAATTATCACAGTAAGAGATAGAAAAAAAAATGTAAACAAAAGAGTTGAAATATTAGTGTCAATGACAATAGAAATTGAACAAGAAATATAGTTTAATAAACCACATGAAATCATAGAATGAAATGTATAAAGCAACAGCCAAATGAAAGAATCAAAGGAACACACATTTGAAGCCACAATTTTATCTTATAAGACTGAAAATATTAGGATCTAGTGAAATGTACCGAAAAATTACCTTATATAATCGATGAACATATATATATATATATATATATATATATATATATATATATATATATATATATATATATAATAAACAAAATCATTAATTTATCAGACCATACAAAAACCCATTTCTCCTCCCCTTTCCTCTACCTCATTAAATTTACTCTTAATAGATAATTTGCAACAGACTGGGTCAGGAAGAAAGAATAATTGGCTAATTGGTTACTATAGGGATTAGCAAAAGAAATAGAAGCCCGTATACCCATGAATGAGATGGCGTACAAATACCTATATGGAATTTGTCGATAAAACAAATCGAGATTATATATATATATATATATATATATATATATATATATATATATATATATATATAACACCGAAATTCGACCACTACAACTCCTCACAACAATATCTTAACTTACTCCCAACCACCACGAAATTACAGTTTAAACTAAAACCAATACTACTACTAGTACTACTACTACTAATAGTAATAATAATAATAATAATATGAGAAAAAGTTTCATTGTCAAGAAATAGCTTCAATGTAATTTTGTAAAAAAAAATACATTGAACTATTTGAACAAGTTTTACATACGCTTCCATAAAAGTGAACTAAAATTTCCACAGAGCTCATCTCTGGATAAAGTGTTTACAGGATTGTTACCTGTAAACATTTTGGTGAAACTAATCATTTCATCATTATTTCACTTGTAATAAGCAAATCACAATCTCGTTAACTTGAATGCATCGGTTAGTATGCTTCTTAGTTTTTATTAAGATTAGATTTGGAGGCTGGTTTTGTGAAAAACTCCTTATTTGCTAGGTTTCTGCTAGTATACATAGCTTAGCATACAAAATTGCTTTCATAATACAGAATACAACTACAATTCAATACTAGTGAGCATGTGTGAGGCAACCTTATCTGAATACTCCAGAAGCTTCTGAATGTAATAGATTAATACCACTACTAACATGCGTTTCTTGATGAGCTATTTCCAGTATTAACGATGACAAAATTAAGGAATTATACTTAACTTTGTTAATAGTTCCGAACAATAAAGAAATAGTTGCATCTATTCTCTATACTCGTAGTATTTTGGTACAGAGCAGTCACAAGCAACGAACCAAAGGAAGCTCTGGTACAAACAAGTACAATGGATGATTACTTAAAGTGAGTGATGCTATTTAACCGTTAGGCGAGGGATAAAGATCAGGTCGATATATTCACGGTCTGAAAGAAAACTGACCCACTGAACAATCCTATAAGAATTCTTAAGACCAAATTATTATTTATTTGTTTGAAAACATAAATACTGGTACAAAGGCGCAACAAATACATATGCACCACACGAGTAACTCGAATTGAGTCTGTGGGCTGTGGTAATACCCGAGTGGCCGAATCGAAGCAGGTGGTTTTCTTAAGTGGCTACACTCGAAGCCTTCAACCTAAAGCTCTAATCCACAAAGCAGTGGAGAAACGTGAGGAGTTGCAGTCGCATGGTAGCCGGTGAGCAATAATGGGTTCATACACCATTTGTTCGCTCAGGATCGTATAGCCCATGTACACCATTGATTTTGAATAAGGGTTTTCCAACTCCCGTAGGTAGATCCTTCATATCCACCAACCCAGTTAATGAGATGGACATTCACTTTTCGTCCTCTCAATTTCGTAAACAACAGTAATGTCGCGAGAAGGCTGTGAATAGGACATCCCTGGTAGTGGTTATATGCGCGTGGTCATGTGAGAGCATTTCGAAAGGGAAAGCAGACTCCTCACTCTCGGCCGTATCAGTTCATTCAGTGATCTAAATGATGTTTATTGCCTTACAAGATTCCTTTATTTAGACCTAATGTAGGTTCCTTTTCATTATTTTTTAGCTTGAAGGTGTTTTCTTCTTTGTTGTAAATAAAATAATTTTATAACAACTTTACCTAGGCTTTTTCGCCGTTGCATTCCGTGTCTCCAACTTTTATGTCGTCGACTCGTTTATCGGGGGTAGGTATTTCACTAAATAACCCATATAGCTGCTTAGTCATTTAATGCTACCAATGTTAATATGTAGGACTTTGTGTTATTTCTACTTATTCTTGTTGAAGTTTAGTTTTCTCTGAGGGATCTCAAGTCACTGAATTGTTGGTATCTGAGTGTTTTCACGAATGCGATACCTGATGCGGCTATTCCAGATCCTTATTTTTCGTTTGATCTTGCTACTCTTAGCGTTCACAACATCATGCACATTAAACAACAGCTAGGTTTGGATGTGACTCTTGAAAGTTTCGCAACATATGTCCCCTTAATCTTAGAGATTGCATTTTATATTCTAATAACGTACTACATTTGTCTACTCGATGAGGATTCGACGTGTACTTTTATCTGGAAACTTAATGGCGTTCTATACGTCATCTTATTTATTCTGGCAAACACCTGTTTGATGGAGCTTGCGTAAAAACAGCGAGATCCGATGCTCGTGGTCGGTTAGTACGTCGGCTTTAGCAGCTAAATCTAAACTCCCGATTTTTCCGACCCATCCGAGCCACCATTGGATTTTGACGAGGTATTTAGAAAATCCGTAGGGTGATAGTACCTCAATAGGTAATATTTAAAGGAGTTTTGAACGCTAGGTGGAGCACTTCAATAGACAGTTCAACTACTTCAGCAACGTTCTTTACTTTCCTATTTTCCTTTATCTCTGACTACTAATCCAGTCAACGCAGCACAGTTCAGAATAGATTCCCAACTTCTGAAGCTTCATAAGATACCAGATACAAAAAAAGTACACCCGAAAAAACTTAGGAATTTGAGTTTTCAATCCTTCTGTAATGAAATAATTGTCTTATCTTCCTTTAAATATGGCTTAAGTAAAGCGTGTAATAATTATCAGAGTATATCTTTTCCTAATCTCATTCAAACTATATGGTCTTAAGGCACCCCAAACACCCTGATACGGCCGAGAGTGAGGAGTCTGCTTTCCCTTTCGAAATGCTCTCACATGACCACGCGCATATAACCACTACCAGGGATGTCCTATTCACAGCCTTCTCGCGACATTACTGTTGTTTACGAAATTGAGAGGACGAAAAGTGAATGTCCATCTCATTAACTGGGTTGGTGGATATGAAGGATCTACCTACGGGAGTTGGAAAACCCTTATTCAAAATCAATGGTGTACATGGGCTATACGATCCTGAGCGAACAAATGGTGTATGAACCCATTATTGCTCACCGGCTACCATGCGACTGCAACTCCTCACGTTTATCCACTCCCTTATGGATTAGACATCTAGGTGAAAAGATCGAGGAGTCACTCACTAAGAAAACCACCTGATTCGGTTTCGCCACCCGGCCAGTATTCCATACATCACATATATCAAATCACCAAGTATGACACATATATTTGCTGCCTCGTTCTACCAATCTTCATATATTTAAATATATATCATAATATTAATAACACTTCTGAAAAAGGGGTTCTTGCCAATTTCACAAAGCCTTTTCACATTACACTGATACAAGCTTATTAACTAAGTGAAATCTAAAAAATAACGAACAAAATTCAAGCTGTTAGCACCGAAATCCATCTGATATTACATTAATACACGATAAGTGGGTCAAAGAACATGGACAACAACATATCCACACAAATCACCTCTCAAGCATGAATCAAATCAATCCTGAATGATCTAGTGTTCACAGGAATTTATTAGGAAAACTACCAAACACTGATGTAATACTCTGTAGTCTACAGTATCTGAACAATTGGAAACATTTGCCAAAACATACTGAACGGATGTTTGTTTGGTTATCACTCATATATAATAATGTATATAAGCAAATTAGTAAAACAATTTTATTATCGTTCCTTCTCACACTCCCCTTCTCCTATCAAAACTTCAGGTTAGGTAATGTAAGCAGTGAGTAAACACTTATGACTACAAATAAACCTGGTTTGCGTTCGCTCACTAATTGTTATAAGTCATCTTAGAATCGAATCTTAGGACACAAATATCTAGTGTCAAGTGGGAAAAGCGTTGAATTTTCACTTTAAATATACATCTTAACCAGTATGTGTAGTATCTAAATTTACCAAAGGGAGAAACTTCTAAGCAATATCAAGAGTTTGGTTACACAGCAAGACTAAATATTCTCAAAACAACGCTGAATCTGACTCTAGTCTGACTTGGTGAAATCGTTGAGCTGTTAAAGTAATCAGAAGAAAGGACACTATTAACTAACTAGTTTCATACCTTAATATAAGCCAAAATTAATGAAAAAGAAAGGGAATTATAAGAGACACAACTAAGTGGATAGTTTAAGGTCATGGCATGTATTATATATTAACACAGTTCAGTCTCAATCTAAGAATTTCTTAGATAGTGTCGTTCATTTAATATTGAAAACATAAAACACAGGACTGACATAAAACAATTACTACCAGATGATCACGAAATTGGTGTTCTCTATATATATGGAGGATCCACCTAGAGGATTTGGAAAACACTGATTCCATATCAATGGTGCACATGGGTTCCAGGATCCCGAGGGAACAAACGGAGTATGAACCAATTATTGGTCACTGTCTGCCATGGGACTACATCTCCAAACGTTGCTTCATTGCCTTGTGAATCAAACCTTTAGATCGAAGGCTCGGGGTGTGACCTCTTAAGAAAACCACCCGGTCAGCATCATAGCCCACACACGCATATCAAGTGACTTATGCGGCACATATGTATTCGGTGATCATTTGTACCAACATTCATGTGCTCAAGAAAATCAAATGAACCTGCATAGATCATAACTTATCAAAAAAATTATGATGAGTATTTCACGATTTTGCTGCAGATATTCTGATGAGAATTTAATTAGTTATTGATAATGTTCTTAGATTTAGTGACGGATATTTTACAAAGGATCCATAGAACATTTGAGTTCTAAAGTAAAGCCAACAAAGCCACACTATAACGTAAAAACTATGCAGCGGTATATAACTGAGGGCTATATGTTAATTTCACATTTTCAGGTTAGCAGTTTTTACTAGAAAACAGAAATCTATGCCAACACTAAGCAGACAGAAACGCATTTCGCTGATAAAAACTTCCTAAGACAAACATGACTGATGAAGTACAACACAATAATTGGGTTTATTAATACTAATTTCACATTAGTTACAGTTTAAAAGATGTGTAAATATATCAAGACGTTATAAGTACATACCTGACCTTCACCCTCAATCACCAGACCCACTTTATCTTCAGTTAAGTTTTCCGACGACTTTTTCTGCTCATCTTCCTCACCTTCGTCTTTATAAACTTTAACCTCATCGGTACATGCAACTTCCATAAGTACCGAATGCACAGAAAACGACCTTAGCCTCCTCCACTGTACCGCACACCTTGAGAACAATGTAAAAAAACTTATATGGATTTCATTAAAAAAATCCTAAAAACATTTTCTCACTAACAATACTGATACGAAACATTTATCATAGGGTAGAATACGATTTCTGTGTTTTGTGTTATTGCTTTAAGCGGTTGATTCAAGTCTGGACGACCTACGTAAATCCAACGTAAGCCGATTTGTTTATGACATGTAGCCTGTCAACTAATTCTTTTTAGTTTAGATCGGATTCCATTGTCAAGGAAACCGCCTTAACAATTACCAGTTATATACATAGACGTAAGTTGGTGCCTCAAAATGGATGCAACCAACGCTATTACGGAATTAACTGCCACTGAACTGAGGATTATCAAAATTAAATCGGATATAGATCAATTCGATGAACTTCTAAAAAGTGTAACTAGTGGATATGGTGACAAAGAGAGTCTTAATGAAAAATATCACAACCTAATACTCTCAACTAAGGATTTGTCGTCTCACCTGGCAGTTATTCAGAAGTAATGTAATTTTTATCGTTCTATGGTTGACCGTTTTTAACTTAATACATTTATCGAAACATTGGTGCCCAGGGACCTCAATAAAATTTATTGGTAAATTGTCGTCAATCTCATCCACACAAAGATATTCGTTACTGACACATTTCTCGAACTTAAGCCAGCCTTTGACATATATATATATATATATATATATATATATATATATATATATATACGCGTGACTGTATTTAACATCAAAAGATAAAGAGAAGTGTATTACCCTTGTACATACTGCTCGAAAGCTACTGGTAAACTGTTACTGCAATTAATGGCTTCAAATAGTGTTCGTCTAGGTTATCCGGCTTTGTCATATACACTTTCGAAGATGATACTCTCATCATCAGACTTGTCGAGAATCGACGTCTTACCAAGAAATTCTCTTTTTGATTTAGAGTACTTAGATGGTTTAGCCGTTTTGGTAAAATACGGTTTTCTGATTGCCTTCAGCAACAAACCCAGCATGCTTGAGATATCCTTGTCTCCTAAATACAAATTATTTATTCAAGATTGATCCACATCAACGCCTAAAGTAATGATAAAGAGCAAAGCAGCTAAGTGTATTTACCACTTCATTTATCTCAAAAGTCCCATCAATCCTAGTGTGTTGTCGAAATTTCCAGGTGAATTCAGAAAAGCCAGTTGGTTTTCGTCAATATCCGCTACCTATAGCGAATTTTACAGTTCAACCGTTCACTCCGTTCTAGTTTTTAGTCACAATCACTGACTGTCAAATCATCTTGTGAAAACTATAGAGGGATTAGTCTTACTAACATAGCATCTAAAATACTATTTATTTATTCATTCTAACACAGATATTGGTACAAGGAAGCACCAAATACATATGCGCCACATAGACCTCATTTGATATGTGTAAGGGCTTTGATACTGCCCGGGTGTCCAGAACGATGCAGGTGGTTTTCTTAGGGGGCCACACCCCTAACTAGATTGAGACCTTCGACCTGAAGATCTGATCCATAAGGCAGCAGAGCATCGTAAGGCGATGCAGTCCCATGGTAGCCGTTAACCAACGATAGATTCATACTCCGTTTCCTCAGTATCCTGGAACTTGTGTGACCATTGGTTTGGAATCAGGGTTTTCCAACTCCCCTAGGTGAACCCTCCGTATCTACCAAACTGTTTAGAGCGACGGACATTTGCTTTTCGTCCTCTTAATTTTGTAAACAATAGTAATGCGGCGAGAAGGCAGTGAGTAGGAGTTCCCTGGTAGTGTCTTCAAAATGTTACTCGTATATTTCTAGGTCATTGGGTTAGGGATTTTAAGATTAGATGTGTAGTTGTTGGTATGGCAATCCGTTGACGAAGTACTGAGTCTATTAACTGAGATGTTTAAGACATATTTTTTGTGTACTCACCCACTAACTACCGCGATGTGCAAGTACGTTATCAGAAAGATAGGGGTGAATGAACAAATACGTGATCAGTTAGTGAACATACTGACTATTGGACTGAGTCATGTAACTAGGTGTAGGCTACTTGGTTGGCGTCCGCGTGATTGTCGTAACCAATGTTTAGGAACTTTGGATGACATAGCTCAGAATCGTTCATAGTGTCATAGGTGTATTCGCTTTTTGCCCTCCCTTAGGTTATAGGTTTCCAAATTTCTCTTGAGTAAATTGATATTATTATTACGAGATTTTTTATTTTATATTTTCTCGAATCGCATCTTGGATGCCCAATCTTTTCTATCAACGCTAATGTTGTTACTACCTCTACTACTGTAGGATTTATCTTGACAATGTCGAAATAATAGTTACTAAGTCATCCCCAACAAATCAAAACTTCTCCCCACATTTCAACCTATTAACTGCTTTATTCGTTATCATTTTAATTAGGCAGTTAGTTGTAAGCCGGTATTATTGATGACAGAGCTTCCGGTAATATAATCTTTCCGTTTCTTAGACTGAAATTATACCAGCCTTTTTATTTTATCCTAGTTTAAAGTAGTACTTTCAACGGTTTATCTGATCTTTTTATAGAGTGATTCAAGTGGGATCACATATTCCTGACCTACGTGCACGAGCTCGTACTCTTAACGCTCAAGCTATAAACCAATTAGGGCGTTTGCGAAAACTAGGCAGCGCTGTTCAACAGCACGTTCGTAATGAAAAAAATGTGTACTCAGTCAATTCTCAAGGACAGTACCCGTCACTTGGTATATTCTCAATTGATCGTAAGTTATCTCGAATATACTTTTTTTAATGCATATGTATCTTACTGATTAATTCCTTTGTATGTAACAAATAAGTTGTCGATTTAGTGACCTCATGATTCGAAACAATCTGTAGCATTGATTGTTATTTCGTATGTTGTGTCTCTATGATGTCAGTGTCTCTTATTCTTCATTGTGTATTATCCCATCCCTTTAAATCAATTCGCTGGTAACTTTCTTATTACTCTTAAAATGGTTCCATTACTTCCCGTAGGTTTCCTCTTATCACTTGAAGCATGTCTAAGAAGCTCGTATCAATGGAAACCATTTAATGCTTTAGTCAATGGTTATATGATTTTGTATTAGATTGTAGTTCTTGTCATTCTAATTCTACCCTTAATTTACTCTTTTTACCTTAGGACATAAAATTAAGAAAATGACACATTCTTATGAAAATTATTACATGGTACATATATAACACCATGCTCTCTCTCTCCCTCCGAGACAATCCTTTCAGGAAACTGTCTAGATTATTTCAAAAGGCATGGGAGTCTGTGAGTGTTTGTACCCGTCCCCACTGACTACAGTTCAAATGAGGCATGGGTTTTCTGGTCTTCAAAGATCTAAACGCCCAGGAATCGAAAGCATAGATGTTAAGTCTTAAGCAAAGACGGGAGATTGTATATGATGCATTTTTCTAAACACAAAATGTTTCAGAATTAGTTTTCACCAGGTACCTGTTTGACTATAGGTGGCAATGTAAATGAAGGTTTCGTCTACTTCTCTTATTTTGAAGATCTCATCAATCCTGGTTGGTTTTTGTCTGATAAAATCTCGGGACGAATTCAAAACTTTATCTCGGTACATGGTAACTTCTGGTGTAGGCGAGATGTCCGCCTCCCAGCTAGTTGGAGGATATAATTAGCACTAAAGCTCTTTGCATTTATTGTATAAACGGGAAGCGCACTAGGAATTTCGATGACTTGTATAAGCTCCAAGTGTCCGACCATAGCTTTTAAACCCAGATTGAAAAGTCTTATTAATTATCTATTTTTCATATTTTTAGAAGAACCTTCAGAGCAGAAACATATTTCTTTAGAATCAAAGGCAGATATCCAAAGAGCGCATGAAATGGAACAGTTGGAATCTGATATAATTCAAGTAAACGAACTTTTCACAACACTTGCTACATATATTCACGATCAAGGAACGTTAGTTGATTCTATTGGAGATAATATAGAAGTAGCTTATGAACAGGTAAGTTTTTTGTAGTTTATGTTCATAAAGTCGTTACTTTTACGTGACCCCTGATGAAAACAGGTACACACATTGTCTAAAACTCATTTTAAATGTTATTCGGATTTTATAGTTTTCAGATGGTCACTAACTTATGAAGTTACCCTTTATCACCTTCAATTTTCCAGATGATTGTGATATTCCCACTTGATGTTCAATAGATCACGATATTTAGTAGTTCAAAAAACAATATGATATCGTTCAAAATCGGTCTCCAACCTATAATCGTCTATAGTCTGAAAACTCTTAATAATTCTTTTGCCTAACATAAGCGGTATTGGGATATGTTTTTATCGGGAACATTTTAAAAAAAAAATCATCTTACTAGACATACTACACACTGGTTAGAAGTTTCATATGCATTTATTCAACTTCAATTTTAATTGTCATTAACATTTTACATTTATTTTCTAGGTTCAAAGTGGTACAGAACAATTAAGCACTGCTACAAAACATCGAAAGTCAGCACGACGAAAAAAGTGCATTTGTCTTGGTCTTATATTATTGATTTTATTTATTTTAGCTTTAGCAATTGGATTATCCTTAAGACAATAAATAATTCTCAAACTGTTATCATTTGGTTTTCACATACTTTCATAAACTATTTCATTATTGATTTTTGAACATATTTTACTTTTACAGAAATCAATCGCTTAATGTCTTTCATAATTCATCTTTATTTAACTATAATCTTTACACTTTGTTTTCTTTGTATCCTTCATCATTTGGTGATGATCTGATATTCATATGTGAATTTGATTGTATAGTTCAAGTTATACTATACTAACCAGTGATTGTTTGCTTCTGTAATTTGTTTTAATTTCAATATTGTATTATTATGATTTGCATCATGATTTGGTGGTAGGAAGATCTTGTTTCCTAGCAGATAATGGTAATATTTAGAGATAGTCAAAACATCAAAGTATGGTATTTTGCTATCTAGTAAATCTAAATTGTTTTTGTCAAAGTTTCAAAAGTTGGAAAGTAAAGCTGATGTTGAAACGCTGCTTTCTCAATAGTAATTGTGGACTGAAAATGTGCCAAGGGTTTTGTTACGTGGGAGAATCTTCAAAGTTTGGAATTAAACATGAAGACTTGGAGACTATTAGAATACTGGATATACGATGAAAGACGACGACATGAGGTGATAAGTGCTCTCAACAGAAGATACTAAATGACAGCTAGTAGGGATAATCCCAAAAAAGCGGGGTTATATATAAAAAGTGCTAGTAGTCATCTGACGAATAAGTAATCGCAACATTCAAGTTTCTGATCTCACTCAGCCTCCTAGATAATTAAAACCTGATTGTTAGATTTAATTTTTGCCTAAATGTGTACTTGAAGTTGCCAAGTTGCAATTAACGGAAACAACTTTGACCTCAGACCATGCTGAATCATTCGATTATCCTGAGTAAGCATTCTTGATGGTCTGAGTTGACTGGTCTTACAAATGACGTCAATCTAAAGTAATTCACTAATGTCAACTTGTGAACCATGGCGGATCAGTAACTCCGTATATATGTATCTCGGTGATACAATTAAGCTTTTATTCACCAACATCACGGTTTCTTTAGCCTGGGTCTTACTTAATACAAATGAAAACGTTTTCTAGTGTGTCCGCCTGTATTATTCCAGATATGAATGCTTTCACTGAAAGTAAGCGCCGCCTCGCTCATCTTTTTATTAGTAATGACACAGAAATTTCTGTATTGATTGGGATTTGCTAACTGGTGTGACCGCTTACCAACAAAATCCAGTAACATTCTGGTCATAGTCCTCCTGATCATTGTAGCTTTTTACGATATTTTGTTAAGTATTACAATCATTAGGACAATGTAGGTACAAAAAAACATATAATTCAGTGATGAGTCACTTGAATCGATTTACTGATTTTGAAAATTCAATACGAACATTAAATTATTGATCAATCACTAGTTCAATTCGTTCAAGTTTATTGATTGATTGAGCACTCAAAAGGATGTGTGATCTACTGTTGTTATTACTGTGGATGCCGTTCACTTAGTGTATCAATAATTTCTCTCCCATAGTCTTTGTGGTCGATATAAGAATACTGCTGCGTTGCGATGAGTGATAAGCACCTATTACGCAGTCAGTCGTACTAGTAGCAATAAACTGTACTGGCGACCAGCTTGAATATCTGGGCTACTTGTCCCTGCTATCTAGATATTTCAACAAGTTATGTCTATTAATCACACCGGCTATTCAGATGAGTTTATGAAAATCTTACGATCTTTTGTACAAGTTACAAAAAAGTACAATCAGAGATATCATGGTGGTTTGACAATATCTCATTGAAAATTATTCAGATGTCGATTTCTGAACTGCTTACATCTAACTGGTGATCACTAATTGAAAAAGTAGACTGTCTTCGATTCCTACTAAGTCTAAACATGTATCATTTTTGTGATACAATCACAACTCAAGAATTCTAATCGAATGATTTGCAAGACAATTGCTTAGTAACACTACAAAATCTTAATATTTATCGTCACGATCAATCAAGCAATAACATAAGGAAACCTCATACATATAGTTCCCTTTATTGTGTTAAAGAGAGCAAGAACGAATAATCGGTGCAGAATAATAAATGGATCCATTTTATTTCGTTCGGTTCTCATCAGCTGCTTACAACCTGTAATATTTGAAAATCAAACTTATTACATATATTGACATACTTAGACGTAAAATGATGGTCAAAGGTGAATATGTGTATCGGAGAAATCAAGTTTGGGAATGAAAGTTCCAGAACTTTGAATTAATGATTAGAATTCATAGAGTTAACAAACATTAAATGATTATGTAATGGACTAACTGAAATAGTAATACAAAAAGGTATGAATTGAAGAAAAATGGAGTTTGATTGTTTGTTAATCACGTTGTAGGACTTCAGTGTATCGACTTCATGTCCTGTCTTTTGATGGCATTAATTCAATGTTCTGGAACTTTTCCTCCCAAACTTTATTTCTCCGAAACAAAAGGTTTTCCATTATCTTATTAACTCGATTGACATCTTCGTTACATTATTCATTTTTAATCACCATTTTACGTCTAAGTATGTCGATATATGTAATAACGTTGATTTTAAATTTTACAGGTTGTAAGCAGCTGATGAGAACCGAACGAAATAAAATGGATCCATTTATTATTCTGCACTAATTATTCATTCTTGTTCTCTTTAAAAAGGAAACCTGTTGTATAACTTTATAGTGACAATTCTATATTGATATCAGAAGGCGTTTTGTGGATATTGTAGTAATTTCAATAGTTGAGATCATGATTCAATTGAAGTTAGACCACCGTGAAAAACCTAGAAGTACTAAAAGGCCATTTCGTCCTATTGTGGGACTCCATAACAATACGCATCCACAATCCCGCCTAGCGGGATTCGAACACAGGACCTATCAATCTCTTACGCGGACGCCTAACCTGTAGACCACTGAGCTAGCCGGCATTCAACGGTTTTATTGTACCAAAAATAGAATATAATGAATAAAGCTATTAAAACTCCCAAACACCCTGGTACGGCCGAGAGTTGAAAGAGTTAGCTCTCCCTCTCGAAATGCTCTCATATGGCCACGCGTATATAGCCCCTGTCAGGGAAGTCCTACTCACTGACTTCTCGCCGCATTAATATTGTTTACGAAATTGAGAGGATGAAAAGTAAATGTCCGGAGCTCTAACCAGGTTGGTGGACACCGACAGTCTATCTAGAGCAGTTGGAAAACACTGATTCTAAATCAATAGTGCACATGCGCTCCAGTATTCCAAGGGAAAAAAAACTGGTGTATGAAGCAATTATTGGTCACCGGGTACTATGAGACTGCATCTCCTTACGATGCTCCAATGCCTTGTGGATCAAACCTTTAGGTCAAAGGGCTTCGGGTGCGATCTGCTAAGAAAACCGCCTGCCCTTACACAAATTAAATGAGATTTTTGTGGCACATACGTATTTGATGCCTCCTTGTACCAATATCTATATGTTCAAATAAAAATAAAGCCATTAGTAATAATAAGTATATCAAATCCATGTTATATTGAGAGAATATATATGTATATCAAATTTTGTTCTCCCTATATCAACAAAATAAATTAACATCTCTTTATTTCTAACAGAAAATGTAACAAAATAAGATTAGCAATTAAAATATACCTTGAGATGGATAATACTCATTCTATTAATATGGTAATAATAATAATAATAAACTGTGAATAATACAAAATATCATACAAACCATATAAATAAATAAAATAAACAAATAAGATTTACATTCAAGAAGAATATGTTCATCCATAAGTAGAAAACAAAAAAAAAAAAAAAGAAAAGGGAAACAAACCCACTTACTGACAATTGTAATAGTAATAATAATAATAATAATAAATCCAATGAAAGACTAACATTTTTGGCAGTTAAAAAATAAATAAATAAATAAGTGTGTGTCAAGGGTGGGAGAGGAGAAAAGTGAGCAGTCAAAAGATTTCAGAGCATAGAAAAACTGTGAACACTGTACATCTTTTATTTTATTTTGTTTTGTTTGTTTGTTTGTTTGTTTCTTATGGATACTATTAATTGATAAATGGTTAATTCATTGATATACATGGTACTTTAATTAATGGTGATGAATCTAATGATGCACGTTGAAATAATTCAATTAAATAATATAAACCATATAGAAAATTTTCATCTTTTATTTGATGACTACAATTAGTTACTAATTCCCAACGTGTAAAATCAATTAAATATACTAAAACATATTCATCTATTTTATGATTATCTATAATATTGGATATAATTAATTCTTTATTGTTGTCATGACAATTATGATGATGATGATGAGAATATGAATAAGGTAACTGAGTGGTGGTTGTATTCGAAGATAATACAATCTCATCATTAACATCAACACTATCATAAGCTAATAATAAAGAACTTGCATAGAAATGATAACAATTTTGATTTTCAAACCATTTAGCTAATTGTGTTAATTTTTTAACAAATTGATTAGCTAATCTTTTTGCACGATTTACATCTGGACCAAGAAATAAACGAATACCTTAATGAAAAACATAAAGTATAAATATTTCAATTATGAATCGATCTATGTTACACCATCATTCAAAATGTGGAAGTAATAGACGGTTGTTTCGTCCTAGTATGGGGCTCGTCAGTTGTATGCATCCATACCGCCGCACGTAGTTTCGTAGGCGAATGCTCCACCCCTAGACTACTACTAGGCTAGTATCCAACAGTATTAATCTCTAACTTTAATCAATCTACGATACTCTAAGACCATTTTCCATTGTCTTAAGTGGGAAAACTACATAGAGTTCATGAACTTTTTGCCTTAACTAGATTGAGGCCTTCGACCTAAAGGTCTGATCCGCAAGCCAGTGGAGCAATGTTAGGAGATGCAGTCTCATAGTAGCCGTTGTCCAACAATAGGTTCATACTCCATTCATTTTCTCAGGATCCTGGAACCTGTGTTACTATTGGTTTGGAATCAGGGTTTTCCAACTCCCCTAGGTGGATACTCCGTGTCTACCAACCCGGTTAAAGCGCCAGATATTCACTCTTCATCCTCTCAATTTCGTAAACAATAGTAATGCGGCGAGATGGCAGTCGGTAGGACTTCCCTGAAAGTGGTTATACGCGCGCGGTCGTGTGATAGGATTTCGAGAGGGTGAGCAGACTCCCCATACATAAATACACAAATACACTAGACCACGCGTACTTGTTTTATGCGTCATTGGTTCGGTCGATAAATTATTATTCTCTAACTGGTAATATCACATTACATTATACAATCATAGGGATACAAATTGACAAGTTATAACATATTAGAACCTATGAACATGCAACCTTCTGATAGTAACAAGTAGTTCATATCTATACATATTATGTATATTTGTTTACGTGTTCTACATACTCATTCTCTTTAAACGACTTTTTCTTTTGAAGAATTGATTGAATTGAACTATTTGTACTGGTTCATCATAAATTCATATTAAGGAATTCGTTAATAATAAATAAACATGATTTAAATAGTAAATACATACATATACATATACATAGATTGGATTATATTGTTTATATAAACAAAATAAACAATCTAATTACCATTATCATATATTGTAGATGGATTTAATGATCTTCCAAAGAAAATATCAAATGTAGTATATTCATTAATATCTGGATAGAATACCTAAAATTGAATATATCAAGTAATGATTATAAATAATACTGGAGGGGGGGGGAAATAGCATGAATTGAAATACTTGTATTTGGATTAATTGACAATTATGTCCTATATTAAGTATATAATAATCAAATACATTTTATATACTTTCAAGAGAACTTGATTGACAAAAATCACTTATATCGGGAGTCTGATCAGCTGACATGGGATGTTGTCTGAGGAAATCTCTGCACAGATTCAGGAAGCTGGTTTGGCTTTTGCCAACTTACGTCACCTATGATGAAGGAGAGATATCTGTCTATCGATTAACGGGCTAGTATACTGCGCGGCAATTCGTTCCGTTCTAATATACGTCTGCGAAACGTGACCATTAATAGTAGAATATACATGTAAGTTACTAGTATTTAACTACAGATGTCTTAGAAATATTTTTCGCATCTTCTGGGATCACCAAGTATGTATTGGTGAGGTTAGACGTAGGATATTAGGAAATGATGATAAATCAGTTGATGAGGTTGCAGACATTCATCGACTGAGATGGTTGGGTCACGTGTTATCAATTTATCAATTTAGTAACTAAATATCACTGAATTTGAGTAAATTTCTACTTAGCTCTCAATATAGAACCAACTACCCTCAATTTGGTTTTGAATTTCAGACAGAATCTGGCGGTCGCTAAATCAAGTCTGATTGGTCCGTCAGTAGAGTACAGTTTTGTCAACAAACATTTAGATTGAATCAAAGTGTACAAAACGAGATACCAAAAAATGTTTTTCATTAGTAAAATTAAAAGCGTTCACTATTAGGAACGGTCTTAATTACTATGCTAGTAGAAAATAAACAAAAATATTTGAATAATATGGTTATTACGTCTTCTATGGAAATGATAATTCGTATTAATTTCCGACTTTCATTAAATTGATCTTAAGAGTTTCTCTGAATTGATAATTATGACCCTATCATTGAAGATATGTTCTTTTTTTATCAACCAGTCAGTCACAACGTAGTACCGGGCACATACGTGCATCGGTCCAAGTTGCTATACCTCATTAGCACAACAACATGAACACCAAATTCATAGAAGTAGCCAATTCAATGGTGGTAATATATAAAAGAATGATTGCAGATAATGATATAGTACAGGAAGAAAGAATTTGTTTGCCGAAACGGAGGTATAAAACAACTTTAATCCCACAGTTTAAGGGAAAACAGAGAGTGTACACACCTACACCATTATGATCGATTCCGAGCGTGTCACCTAGAGTCTCCAACCACTGGTTACGATAGTCACGCGGACCCCAACCAAGTAGTCTACATCTACCAACATGACTCACACCAGAAGTTAGGGACTTCAATAACTGATTTCACGTTTTGGTTTGGCGGTCCCTAACTTTCTTTCAACCATCCCCAACACTAGTCAGCATTGCGCGTCGTGGCAATCGGTGGTTGGTATGCGTAACACGTGGCCCAACCATTTCGGTCGATGAATATCTGCAACCTCATCAACTGATTTACCATCATTCCCTAATACCCTGTATCTAACCTCACTACTACTTACCCGGTGATCCAAGAAGATGCGAGAAATATTTCTAAGAAATCTGTGGTCAAATACTAGTAGCTTACGTGTATATTCTACTATTAATAGTCACGTTTCGCAGCCGTAAAGTAGAACAGATTGAACTGCCACGCAGTGATACATTACCACTTATAGAATAATCAAAACTGAATTTTAAACAAAATAACTTAAAAACTGTGATTACTGATGTCACATAGAATTAATGTCTACATGTAATTAGACACCTGACCGTTGTTGCTACCTTGACGTGGTGGTCGGGCTTGCCTATCGTGATGAAGCAACTGAGCTATACTGGCTGGAACAACCGTTCCTCAAGGTCCTACCATGCCAGACAGGTCGGTTGAAGAGCGGTAAGACTAAAAGCAACAAAACCAAGGTCCGAAGGCGAAGTCGTACTGCTGACTGTACAGAGGTGTGACAGCAGTAAGGTGTTTCCTTCAGACAACCAGCATGACAGCGATGCTGCCTTCCCACAAGGAGGGGTGGGGTTAGAAAAGGTCGACCCTAAAAATGCACACCTCGCCTTATCCCACGGATATCCGTCTCCGGCGGTAAGGACTCAACAAGTACGGAGCTAACACAAAAATCACTCATAAAAAGGTCGTGTGTGACCGACCTCAAGCAGCTGTCCCTTGGGCACTGCGGTCACGCTCTCAGGTCACTATGACCAACTCTAATCCAATTTCCTTTTCAGGTACCTCCAGAAGAACCCTTCCACGGTGTGGGCAACCGGGAAGTGATAACCGCCCTCATACCTCTAACAGCACTCAAGACCACTGTATTCATAGTCAACCTCCCTCTTCAATTCCTATTATTCCTCCTACATCGACTTTATACACTAAACTTCCTCTTTTAGCTTCCTCCTCAAGTGTCACCACAGCCAACGATTCTAGTGCTCAAAACACTGTCCCAGGTCTACTGAAACCTCGCTCCAAACTATACATTGGAGCCTTCAACGTACGCACACTATGCCAAATCGGTCAGCAGGCTTCCTTGGCTAAAACCTTAGAATCTCTTACGATTGATGTATGCTGTGTCTCCGAAACACGCATACAGGATCCTAGTGTGGTCATTCACTTGACCTCACCTCGGCAAAACGGAGAGCCAACGAGATACACCCTCCGTGTATCTGGCGACCCGATGGCTAGTTCTCGTGGACTGGCAGGTATAGGCATAGCACTTAGCATGAGGGCGGAACAAGCGCTATTAGAGTGGATCCCCGTTAACAGTCGTCTATGCGCTGTTCGGCTAAACGGCTCCGTAAGAACTCGGAAGGATAGGGACACACGTCGTTGCCTTTTCGTCGTTTCTGCCTACGCTCCCACTGACTGCAGTTCCGATGAAGTGAAAGATGAATTTTACAGAAAGCTGTCTGAACTTCTTCAGAAAGCTAAACGTTCAGACATAGTACTCGTAGGAGGTGACTTTAATGCCCAGGTAGGTAGCTTAAACGAAACAGAAAGACGTTTAGGTGGGTATTTTAGTATTCCGGCACAGCGAACAGATAATGGTGATCGTCTGCTGCAACTGTGCTCAGACAATCGTTTATTTTTAGCAAACACAAATTTTAAGCATAAGGAGAGACATCGTCTAACATGGCGACCCCCTGCACCAAACCAACGATGGACTCAAATAGACCATATTGCCATCAGTCATCGTTGGAGAGGGTCAATAGAAGATTGTCGCTCATTCTGGGGTACCTGCTTGGACTCTGATCATGCCCTAGTACGAGCACGCATCTGCTTGCGCCTCACTGGACGCAAAAGAGCCACACAAAAAAGACTCATTAGAACCGAATTGAGTAATGAGAAAGCCAAAAGTAGGTTCCAGGAACAACTGAGGTCACACTTAGGTAGTTCTGAAAACGAGACTGACCCAGATGTTGCTTGGAAAGTTATACAAGCAGCTGTGGAAACAGCAGTGACATCTACCAGTGATTTAAACCAAATGGTTACAAAAAACCAATGGATTTCGTCAAGGTCTATTGCACTGATAGATTCTCGTAAACTCATCCCATCAGGTTTTGAATACGATGAAGAGCGTAAAGAAATCAAATCTAGATTAAGCAAAAGTCTAAGGAATGATCGTGAGCATTGGTGGGCAACGAAAGCAAAAGAGATGGAAAAGGCGGCGGCTATAGGGAACACAAGACAACTCTACAGACTAATAAAAGAAACTGGAATTAATAAATCAAGTGTAAGTCAGACCATTTCGGAAAAAGACGACACTCTCACCTGCTCCCAGTCCAGACGCTTAGAACGATGGGCGGAACACTTTAAGGAGCAGTTTAGCTGGCCTTCAGCTACTCTACAACTACCCTCTATTCCCAGACAGTGTGAATGGAACATTGAAGTAGGTCCCCCAACTCTAGCTGAAGTTCAAAAGGCTATAGCTAATCTGAAACGAGGAAGGGCAGCTGGTCCAGATGGATTGGCCCCAGAGGTCTTTAAGGATGGTGGTCTAGTTTTAGCGATAAGGTTGACTAATATTTTAGCTAAAATCTGGGAGTTAGACGTTATCCCATCTAACTGGTCACAATCACTTATCGTCCCAATATTTAAGAAAGGGTCAAAATCATCCTGTGACAACCACAGAGGGATTAGTTTGACTAATATAGTATCTAAAATACTAGCTTCGATAATTTTCGGACGCCTAACTAAGACTCGTGAACTGCAAACACGTGAAAATCAGGCTGGCTTCAGACCTGGTCGTGGTTGCATCGACCACATATTCACCATTCGTCAGGTTCTAGAACACAGGCATACTTATCGGCGTCCGACAATGGTGGTATTCCTTGATTTAAAAGCAGCGTTTGACTCTGTTGACCGAGAGGTTCTGTGGCAGTGTCTGTCATTGAAAGGCGTACCTCAGAAGTACATAAACCTTGTGAAGGCTCTTTACTCGAACACTACTAGTCGAGTCAGAGCTTATGGCGAACTGTCATCTGCTTTTGCAACCTCAAGTGGCGTCCGTCAAGGCTGTCCACTTTCTCCTTTTTTGTTTAACTTCATCATAGATCTACTGATGGAAATAACGCTCTCATCGACTGACTTCTCGGGTATTGATCTCCTACCAGGAGGTCCACTTATTGACTTAGAATACGCAGATGACATAGTCCTGTTTGGTGAAGACGCTGATGAAATGCAGAGTCTTTTGGTAGCACTGAGCAACAATGCTAGAATGTTTGGGATGCGCTTTTCTCCCTCTAAATGCAAGTTGTTGCTTCAGGACTGGTCTGCATCAACACCTGAACTAAGGATAGGGGGTGAAGTAGTCGAACGCATTGACAACTTCACTTATCTTGGAAGTCTGATCAGCCCTAATGGGTTGGTGTCTGACGAAATCTCAGCACGGATTCGAAAAGCTCGCTTGGCCTTTGCCAACTTACGTCATCTATGGCGAAGGCGAGATATCCGTCTATCAATTAAGGGACGAGTATACTGCGCGGCAGTTCGTTCCGTTCTACTATACGGCTGCGAAACATGGCCTTTAAGAGTGGAAGATATTCGTAAGTTACTGGTATTTGATCACAGGTGCCTTAGAAACATTGCGGGTATCTGCTGGGATCACCGGGTAAGTAATAGTGAGGTTAAACGTAGGGTATTAGGGAATGATGGTAAATCAGTTGATGAGGTTATGAATCTTCATCGACTGAGATGGTTGGGCCACGTGTTGCGTATGCCTGAACACCGATTACCACGACGCGCAATGCTGACTAGTGCAGGGGATAATTGGAAGAAAGTTAGGGGCGGCCAAACCAAAACGTGGCATCAGTGCTTGAAGTCACTAACTTCTGGGCTGAGCCATGTTGGGAGATTCAGACTGCCTGGTTGGGGTCCGCGTGACTATCGTAACCAATGGTTGGAGACTCTTGGTGACATGGCTCAGAATCGATCACAATGGCGTCGGTGTATACACTCTCTGTCTTCCTTTAAACTAAGAGATTAAAATCACTTCAAATCTTTCTTTCTAGGAACTAATTCTATCTTCCGGTACTATATCCTTATACACACTCTTTCTTCTATATATTACCACCACTGAATTAACTACTTCTATGAATCCGGTGTTCATCTTGTTGTGCTAATGCGGTATGGCAACTTGGACCGATGCATATACGTGCCTGGTCCTACGTTGCAGCTGACTGACTGACTGACTGTAATTAGACAATTTAAATACAGTATCGTTGAAAACCGGACATTTTCGTAAAATGACATTTTAATTTACAATTCTGAAATAAACACTCCTATAAGGAATAGCATACAATTTTCGTAATAAATACAATGAATAGTAATTTATTTGAATATATAAATACTGGTACAAGGTGCACCAGATACATATGCACCACACAAGTTATTTGATTTGTGTGTGGGCTATGATACTGTCCGGGAACCCAAACCGAAGCAGGTGGTTTGATTAAGGGTCCACACCCCAAGCCTCCAACCTAACTGTCTAATCCGCAAGGCAGTGGAGCAATGTTAGGAGATGCATTCTCATAGTAGCCGTTGTCCAACAATAGGTTCATACTCCATTCGTTCCTCCAGGATCCTAGAACCCGTGTGACCATTGGTTTGTAATCAGTTTTCCAACTCCCCTAGCTGGATTTTCCGTGTCTACCAACCCGGTTAAAGCGACGAACATTCGCTTTTCGTCCTCTCAATTTTGTAAACAACAGCAACGCCACGAGAAGGCAGTGAGTAGGAATTCCCTGGCAAAGGCTAAATACCCGTGGCGATGTGAGAGCATTTTGAGAGGAAGAGAGGACTCTCCCCACCCTCAGCCGTACCAGGGCAGTTGGGGGCTAGTGACAGCTGTACTTTTGTATTGAACATAATTGAATTAAATTAGAATAAAAATAAAATAAATTAGCTAATCTTACTTTTAATCCAGTTACTAGAAATCCGATTTCTTCACGCCATTTATATTTTGCACATTCAATCATTATTTTTGATGGTGAAGAATCAGGAGCATATGTACGACGACCCATTTTTAAATCGCATAATGATGGATGTTTAAAATTAGCCAATAGATCTTTTAAGCCCAAGTACAAATCTATCTTGAGTAGAATTTTTTTAAATAATAAGCGAGTGAAAGAAAAAAAGAAAGAAAAACATTGAAAAAATTTGACAGGTATGAATTTAGGGTAACAGTTAAATCGTCAGAAAACGAAACCACATAATAAATATTCAGGGATTGATAGAAGACTAATAGTGTTAAACATCAGATTACGCCTGACAACTTCCAAGTTGAATTCGGTTTCAAATGACGTCTAACGCTGACTATTTTCAAACATTCCAAACGTATAGAATCCCCACTAACGATCAAGTTTATGACGCACAATGCCAGAGACAATTAGGCAAACGCTTTTTCTAAGTATAAAGATGTTTTATTTGTATCAGACGACATATGTTTTTAGTTATGAACAAGAGGTTCTCCATTACTGTTAGAGGTATGACAGGTTGTCGCTTCCCGGTCATTAATACCGTGGAAAGATAGACTTTCTTAAAGAACCTGACATGGAAATTAGATTAGTAGTGGATTCAGCAACCTGGGAGCTTGACAACAGAAACCAAGGGACAACTGCTTGAGGTCGGTCATATAAAGCCATATTACGAGAAGTTTTTGATGTGTCAGCTACATACTTCAAAGGCCTTACCGCCGAATATGGAAACATGTGGAGTAGACGGAGATGTAAAATTTCTAAGGTCAACCTGTTCTGTAGATACTGATTATCCAAAAGAAACACCTCACTGTCGTCACACTCCAGTACAGTCGTCAGTATGACTTCGCTCTCAAATCTTAAGTCGAGTGGTTGATAACTGGTTGATAAGACTAAATAACTAAGTACAGGTTTGTGCACTTTGATCTGTTCGCTTTGCTTAAAGGTAAGTTATACTAGCAGGCTCAGGCGTAAGTAAGTAAGTAAGTAATACTAACAGGCTTCCAAAACCGAAGCAGATAGAGTGGAGTTTGAAATTGCAACCCTATGATTGAGCGTCGAGTGATTTAACCCTTGTTACTTCTTCATTGAGAGATCATAAGGAAAAGATAGATAATATGAAAACATTACAAGACGCAAGAGATACAACACATAAGATCAGTGGAAAACTTCATGTTTCGTATACAAGGCTATAATTAATGGTTTAGCCATTTGACCTGTGAGTTTGAATGTTTCAGCACCTACTAAGGTGTGATATCTACCTCAAAGAAACAAAGAAACTCATAGTCCTATGCATACACCTACGCATGGTCCCTGACCATGTATTTTTAAGCTAGCTTTCATTAGCCATGAATATCGCTTTGCGATCTCATGAACACAAAAGTGTAGTGGTGAACCAGTGATTTCAAAATGTGCACACCAATCAGCAGCATTAATGAAACAATAATGGGGTTCTAAGACAGTGAGTAGAGCAATAAAAAGTTAATAAAATTTGTCGACTTAAAGTATAAGAGATGAAGGTAAGATGGAAAAAAGTCACTCATCAATTAAGCTGCTTTTTAATTCAATAATACTGCAGTTGATTGAAAGCTAATTTGTGCGTAATTGATGATTTCTTTTTTTCGAATTCGGTCAGTTTATCTTGAGGATAATGCATTTCTCGTATGAAGTAACTTCTGCTGGTAAACTGATCCTCTACGCTGTATATAAAACAATTGTGACTGAAGTTATAAAAAAAATTAATTACATTAATATTTCGGTTGATTGCCTTGGGAGCTAACACTCTGACGTTTAATCAGAGCAACTACGAGACCCAATTGCTTATCAAGTCCTATGTTCATTTGATTTGCCAGTGATAAACACAAGGACATTTGATTCGAGCATTTCTGAATCAAGATTCATACATATTACCAAACATCATCCTCGAGTAATGAAATATTGATTTACAGTACATTCATTCAAGTGACAACTGAATAACACTAATATTACGATTAATAATGACAGATCCTTTAACTTGATAGTTGTACTCGAGAATTTACAAGTCCTATAAGGATGGAAACATAAACCTCCTTACTGAGATATTCAGGACAATAATAATTATCAGGAAGACTTTAAATCTGTACAAGTAACTAGTAAGTATTACTGATAAAACTGCCACTATATTTCTAAAAGTTTTGCTTTTTTTAATGTCTCCCCTCTTTCTATCGTTTGTTAAAGACTAATGCTTTTCCAGTCTTTATTTCCCTAATGCATAATGTTATAATAATATGCAGAACTCTAATATTAGTTTAAATAGTTTTAATAATTTTCTCTGGTTAGCGTTTTTATAGCGAGTTAGTTTTCTGTGGGATGGGGTCGCTAACCCCATGCCCAACCCTCCTTCTTTATCCTGGCTTCAGACCGGCAGCAGCCCCCGGAGGGACTCCAAGATAGTTCTAATATTAGTTGCTACCCTATAAATGGTGTAAAAATTTTACTTACTCTGTTCATCAGTTATTAATAAATAAGAATCCCTCACCAGTTTACTTTTCTTAATATTCATTAGTAGTATATAATTTAAATCAATAAAGAAAATTTAATACATTAATAAATTTATATATATTAACTGACGTTTTTGTTCAGAATCTCGATAGAGGCCATAAAAATCAGGTACAAATTTTCGTAACTCAACTAAAACGGGATCATTACAATTTGGATCGAATAAACGTTGATAAAATTCTAATTCATGTGGACCTTTAGGATAATGTTGTATTGGTTTATAAATAGTTGACTGAACATGTGAATATAAGACTAGAATATTTGAGAAAAGATGAAGTGAATAAAGCATAGAAAAGCACATTAGTAATCGAATATAAATGTATTAATTATTATTTTAAAGAATCGATATCAATCAATGTACTCTGAGAGTTCAATACTGGTTGTAAGTTGAATTAGTAACAATGATAAAAGGTAGAAAGTTTTAATTATGTACTTACTTACTTACGCCTGTTACTCTCAATAGAGCATAAGCCACCAACCAGCATTATCCAACCCACTCTATCCTGGGTCTTCCTTTCTAGTTCTATTGAATTGTTGTTCATTCTTCTCATATCTGTCTCCATTTCTCGGAGTAATGTGTTCTTTGGTGTTCCTCTTCTCCTTTGACCTTGAGGACTCTAAGTGAGAGCTTGCCTTGTGACGTAGTTGGGAGCTTTCCTCAATGTGTCCTATCCAATTCCAGAGCTTTTTCCTGATTTCTTCCTTCGCTAAAATCTGGTTTGTTCTCTCCCACAGTAGGTTGTTGCTGAGATTGTCCGGCCAACGGATCCGAAGTGTTTTACGTAGACAGCTATTAATAAACACTTGTATGTTCCGGATTATGGCTTGCGTAGCTCTCAAGGTTTTCGTTCCATACAGTAGAAATGTCTTGACATTTGCATTAAAAATTCTGACTTTGGCGTTGGTTGACAGTTGTTTCGAGTTCCAAGATGCATACGGTACTCATAATGTGTTAAAAACATATTTCAAAAACAACTTTTGCAACCGATCATCATATTTTGAGAATATCATACCTTCAACCACTTCTGTCATTGTTTTTTCTTATGATATAAAATGAAGATTTTCAATCGATAACAATTTACGTACCGGTAGAAAATATTCAGATATGACTTGATATAGAGTAAAATAAATAATAATAGGTCATTCAACTGAACGATAAAGTGACACTTCCAAAACTGTACAGAAAGTGAGACTAAACATTAGAAGATGCTCTTGGTTTTGTTATTTAACAAACAGTAAGCGATAGTTCAATATTACGTGAAATTTAGTATTTTTATGGTTAAATGAATCGGGGATCTATGCATTTCAATAAAACATAATTTTAAATCATTTCCTCGTTGACTCTGCGCAGAATCTTCCAGAATGATAATGATAAACAGTTTACTCATATCTAGTTTACTTGGTAATTAGAATTAGCGTACTTTGTATTATCATAGAGTTCAAAATATGTTTATAAGTCTGGAAGAAGCCTGTTACTGCACTAACTTTTGTTGATGAACAACTAAAAGTTGAGAAATTGTGTGTGATAAAATGGTAGTGATGTCATGTCGAATGAGAATCATTTATGCATAGCGAAAGTTGAGGCGAGATAGGCACGGGTTGAAGTAGTTTTAGGCTAGGATCCATCGGTTTATTAAAACTTTGTGTTTAAAGCCCTGAATGTGGCAAACCCCAATATTTTGGTAAGCTACTTTAAATGCCTTACAATATAAGGCATTCATGATACTAATTTTTGTATTATGTTTTTCATAAATAGTACATTTGATGTACTTTATTTAAAATGTCTCCATTATTACGTTGTATTTCTGATTTAAACATATAACATACTCGCACATACCACATTACAATATTGAAATGTTTGTATGTCATAATGTGCTATTATACATTTTGCTTTGGTATAAGCGAAGTAGAATAATAAGATGATAAGCACAAAAAATAAATCTGCAACTACCTAGAGAGCAACTGAAAAAGTAAATTGTCAAACACAACTTCGTCTATTTACTAATATTTGCTTTTTATTATTTCTTAAAGCCAAACGGCAAGACCATAGTTTATGGACGAGTAGAATCAGATTTAAGATAGTAGATCTTGGATTTTGAAGCGAAATTCATTCATTCATTCGGCTGAATGCTATTTCGGCATTATAGCTGGTGTCGGTTCGTGATGAAAACAATAAATCTAATTCCTAACCCTAATGCTCAACTGTTAGTCCTAATCCTAGTTCCTCACACTAATATATAACCCTAATAAGTAGTTTGACATTCCAATGTCCAAAGGCCGTCCAGATATTGTAGTTCTACCAGCCGAATAATTACAACTTGGACAATCTTATTAACTCATCTTAATTTTGTTAAAGTCGAAAATTCTGCATACAAGGATAGTACCTGGTCGGTATAGACAGTTTATACGTGAGTAATCAGGTATAAGAAGTGAAATATAAATGGTCATGAGAACCCAGTTGTTATAATTAAGTCTTTTATTACATCCAATTAATTTGTAGATAAGTATATCACAAGAATAAAAAAGCACATCCAAAACTAAATGCACAAAAACACAACTATCACATGAAGGTCCATTGGCTCAGCATATTACGCTTTGAGATAACAAAGACATAAGTTCTATTTACCCTGAAATATTAATCCTAAAATACTAATTTCACGACAGGTACGGTGGTGACAAATGGCAAAATTAAGGATCGCAAGTTTATCTCACGACCACATATAGCCAAATTTCGATGAGTATTTATGTTCGCATACAAACCCAAACTGAGAACATATTGCTTTAAATCACTTTTTCATTCTATAATCTATTGATGTTGAAGTTATTATAAAACAACGTTATAAACTCAATTCACAGTATTACCAGAATCCAGTTTGCAAGCCAACTGTGGCTGGTTTGTCTACGAGCAATTTGTATGAACAGCGCAATAGGTAGTATGTCACTTCAAAACCCAACCCACCCCAAATTTGGTTTAACCTATCGCGTAATTTATTGATTATCATGTTAGGTATGACCAATTCTAGTACAAGAAACCTCTATCTGGTGACTCATCCACGTAATAAGGAGCACGATAAATGAAATCACTGAATGTATGCCAGTACCAAAAGCTGTTAAATTCTCCCTTCTGTAGTTAGGTTTTAAGACTATTTGGAACTAAAATAAGACTTTCGACTGTTGATTAGATACCACGGATATCTATAAGAAATAATGTCACATAAACTTGCCTAAAGACAAGCCTAGAACCAATCACTTTAAATTTATGAATGAATCTCCATTTTACACAAATTTGGATCAATAACGAAGTAAACATTTTTGACTGGAAAAATGGTAAATGAATAAACGCGTTTAAAAACATAGGAAGCAATAATTTGATCAAGTAATCAGAAAGTCATATTCGTTAGCACTTTTCTCATAGGTTATATCGTTCTAGACATATATATTGCATGAATGCTAGTAATACTACAAAAACGTCCAAACTATCGTGGATAGGATGACTTTAAGGACAAATATGAAATACTTGAGTGCCAACAGCTTAAACCATTTTAACCAGTGTCTAGAGAGCAATATAATACCAGTGAACATGATTCTATGTAACTAATAAAATAAATTGTACAACCAATGTTACAATTTATACTTGATGAAAAAATCCACCTAACAGCTTAATATGTAATTATAGACCATGTCTCAGTGTTTTGTGTGCACTTATAAATATACTTTGGTGAGTAAACAGTAAGCCTTTTTGACACAACTTGGTTAGCAAATAGGACTAGGCAGTATGAAATTGGTTAATATCTAATGACAGGCTGTAACAATTTGGAACTGAAACCAACTCACAACATTTTAATGGAATCTGTCGACTACAATCACAATTAGAACAATTCAAAACATACGTCAAAAATAACAGGATCATTCAGATATTTATTTAAAACTACTTACTTTTACATTTATTTCCAAACAGAAGCCCATGACCACCGATTTGGTTAGGATAATTGATCAGATCTGACGGCAACAAAGAACTACTTTCAAACAGATAATTCAACTTGTTAGTTTCATCATTAGTGGAATCCCATTTCTGGTTGACAATCATTTAACTTTGTAGCATTACTAGCAACAAATATTAGTTATTAAGTGGATACTCTCGGCAAAAATGTACCACCTATTTAAGAAAGTTATTGGCCAAAGACTTCATTGATATTATAAGAGCTAATCTAGACAGTTACGGACAAAATAACAGCCAAAATGTATAAACGAACAGATTATGGTTTGATCCGTGTACAGAAGTACCTATTGTTTAGTCTGCGTTATAGGTGTCAAAAACCAGTAGTTGAAAGCGCTAGTTAAATTGATCAAATAGTTGGACACCATTTTAGTCACTTAATACTTACACCCTATTAAAGTGCATCCCTTCTGTTCATCCTAAGTTACTTCTTTGGTAATTTTTTTCTCTGTGGTATTATGAAGCTTTACAACCTTAGCCTAAGCACGTTTGTGAGAGGTTTAATGTTGTGCTGATGATCATCGGAAGTTAAATGCAACAAGATTGTGATGCGAATAAATAACTGCTAAGATCCATATCATTACACAACATTTGGAGTTGTGCTACCTAAAGTAATGGACTATAAAGACCTAGTAGTGTCGAGACTATAATTTATTAGAATCTTGCCCTAGGAGTCATAACAAGCAACAACCTCAAAACTACGAGTAACTGCAAGACCGCTTCTACCAAAGGCTTCAGGGTCATACAGGCTATTTTTAAGACATTGCATTACTTGGAGGAAGAAAAGTTCAGGGTATTATAATTGACTTTTGTGAGGCCACATTCGGAATATGGGATTCAAGCAGCGAGTAATTTTTTCAAGTATGAGGCGGATATTCTGGAACGAGTTTAACGGCAAGAGACCAAGACGGCAGGTCTCTCTGGCCCATCTTAGGAAGAAAGCCAGGAATCCTAACCGCGAAACAATCTGCGAGGATGACGGAACGCCAATCACTAACATCCATCGACGTCTTGAACGATGGGCAGAATTCTTTGAAGGGCAGTTCAACTGGCCTGCTGCTCCGGCAACACCGGTCAGACTGTCCTGCCCTCCATGGCCGGTGACGACTGATCCACCAAATGAGGCGGAAGTCCGCAAGGAACTCCAACTCTTGAAACGTTACAAATCACCGGGCCCAGACGACTTACCTCCGGCTCTTTTTAAAGATGGTGGTGACTTTCTGACTAAGGGACTGACGACGTTGTTTACAAAGATCTGGGAACTAGAGAGTGTACCAACGTCATGGAATGAGTCGATAGTTGTCCCTATCTTTAAAAAGGGTTCACGTCGTTCCTGTAACAACTATCGGTGAATAAGTCTACTTCCGATTGCGTCCAAGCTATTGGCTTCCGTCATACTTCGTAGGTTGTTCAGAACCCGAGAAGGATTGACTCGCGAGGAGCAGGCTGAGTTTCGTTCTGGTCGAGGATGTATTGATCATATCTTCACCCTCCGCCAAGTGTTAGAACACCGCCATACTTATCAAAGGCCAACAATAGTAGTGTTTCTTGATATCAGGGCTGCCTTCGATTCGTTGGACAGAACTGTTCTCTGGGATTGTCTATTGAAGAAGGGTGTGCTTGAGAAGTTTATTAACATCCTAAAAGCCCTATACACAAACACCTCAGGCAGAGTGAGGGCATACAACCACCTTTCTCCACTATTCCATTCGAGCAGTGGGGTTAGGCAGGGTTGCCCAATCTCACCATTCCTCTTCAACTTTGCCATCGATGACATTCTGGAAACAGCTCTGACGGATGTAAGTAATGGTGGTGTGGATCTGTTGCCTGGAGAAAGACTTCTCGACCTTGAGTATGCGGATGATATTGTCTTACTGTGCGAGAATGCCCAAGCTATGCAATCTGCACTTAATCAGTTGGCAATCAGTGTCCGTAGGTATGGTATGTGCTTTGCACCCTCGAAGTGCAAAGTACTTCTACAAGACTGGCAGGATTCTAATCCTGTACTCACTCTGGATGGTGAGCAGATTGAAGTAGTCGAGAAGTTCGTGTATCTAGGTAGCTGCATAAGTGCTGGTGGTGGTGTGAGTGATGAGATCAATGCACGTATAGTGAAAGCCAGAGCGGCTTATGCCAATCTGGGCCATCTTTGGCGCCTTCATGATGTTTGTCTGGCTGTAAAAGGTCGGATCTACAACGCGACGGTGAGAGCAGTTCTGCTCTATGCTTGTGAAACCTGGCCTCTCCGAGTTGAGGATGTTAGACGACTCTCTGTGTTCGATCATCGTTGTCTCCGAAGGATTTCTGGCATCCAGTGGCAACACCATGTCAGTAATACAGAGGTTCGACATCGAGTGTTCGGTCACAGAGACGATAATGAAATTGGTGTCACCATCTTGAAACACCGACTTCGGTGGCTTGGACATGTTCTACGAATGTCGTCCCAGAGAATTCCTCATCGTGCATTATTTGCCGACTCTGGGACTGGTTGGAAAAAGCGGAGAGGTGGTCAGTATATGACATGGTGTCGTGGTATGAAAGAAAGCTGCAAAGGGCTAGCTTCTGTTGGTCCTTCACGACTCCCTGGTTGGGGTCCGAAAGACGGTGTAACGCAGTGGCTAGAGACGTTATCAGATATGGCTCAGAATAGAAGCCAGTGACGATCCTGCTGTAACCTTCTTTTACTTTCTTCATAAAAAGTGTTTGTATCTTCCTTAACTGAAAGATCTCTTCTGATTGTACCTTTCCGTTTCCCCATCATTGTTCTCTCTCTCTCCTTTATTTTATTTATCCCCACGTTCATTACATATTTTTTTTCTCTTTTCTCCTTCTCTTCAAATTATCATTGTTTTGTGTGGCGCATATATATTTGGTGCCCCCCTGTACCAATATTTATGTGTTCAAATAAAATAAACTTTAAAAAAAATCTTAGGAAGACAGACTGAGACGCATGAACTTATTTCTACTATCTTACACAGGTTGTGTATTTATTTAACACATAGATATTGGTACAAGGAGGCACCTAATACATATGCGCCACACAGAACTCATTTGATATGTGTGAGGGCTGTGATACTGCCCGAGTGCCCGAACCGGAGCAGGTTTTACACAGCTTATTTGTGGCCTAATACTACCTCAGTGTAAACACAATGATGACTTTGGTATAATTGTTTTCTTTTTCTTTCATCTGGGATTGACCATCAAAGAGGACATTCTAAGAAGGCTTAAAAATCGAGATTAAATTGCTTACGTCTGGAGTTCCGATTCTCAAAATGAGTAGTGAATTACTAGAATTCTCTAACAGAACATGCAATACCATCACCTTCTATTGACACATTCAAGGTGCGATTGGATCTCAGTACTACAAATTCCAGTGATTAATATAGGTCGGTTGACCTCCTATCCTTGCTATTGAAGACTGAGACATTGATACGAGCCTGAACTAAGGACAATTTGACAGCCGTAACTATAAATTGGTAGAATGAAATTTTGTTTTCGTCAAAAGTGTGACAATTCGTGTTTAGTCCAAATATACTTTTTTGATGGGAGTGGGCGTGTAGAGCATCGTGTGTGAAGCTGGAAATTTCCAAGAGAAAAATAAGAGACGTCCGTGAGCCGACGGGTCAGTGTGCGCATGGGACGTACTTATATCTAGTAACAAAGAAAGTTGGCAATAATTTCCATTATCGCAGGAATTAAGCTAAGACGATTCGATAACCAAGAATACAAGTGCTAACATGGGAACTCCTACCCAAACCAGGAAATCTCGAATCTTGCGCAGTATCTTTGTTTAGTGTTCCGAGTTAGTCAGCAAGTTCAAACAAAAGTTAGTCTTAGTATCAAGATTAGGTGTGTTGACCCTAAAAATACTGTCTCTATAAGACCCACTTTTCCCCCAAAAGCTATAAATGTTATAAAATCCAAGACCAAACTTTGAGCACACCACTTTTGGCTTTTCATCAAAATAGAGTTTCATTTCCCAATCGAATGTTGTATTGCATCTGCTGTTCCGTGATCTCTATACCAAACATGTTGAATTACTTACCAAAAGTTGACAGGTAACCCACTCTTTCCATCTATTTCTATATGCCTCAATTCATTGAGGCTCGTCAATGGATAACTTCCATCAAGAAACCGAATCAACCTCATCAGCAGAATGAGCGATTCGTAGGGTGGGTTTGTAACAGCTTAGGTCTATCGGTTGAGAGTTGACTCCAGACAACCAAGTATATGCCAAAACAATGGAGTTCAAGTATTTATTCACTTTCTCATTTTGTATAGGCGTTATATTTTCTATTATCTTATATTGAATGTCGAAAAGCTTTGTTTATCTGAACAGGTAATCTCACGCTCCACTGTCACTGCACGACGATATAAATAAAAACTTATTCACTACTAGTGTGGCTTCTACCATCAACGGCACGAGGGTTACTGACAGGCACAAAATTGGTGAGCCCGACGCGATGGGTCGGTAAAGCAGGGGGCGAGGCAATCCTAAAACAATGATGGATGCAAACTCTCCTGTGCTACGTCCAACGCTATTTGGATGCAAAAGATCCTGAAACCTCTTTATGGCATTTAGCGCGTATGGACGATAGAATAATGGAAGGAGGTCCCCCAACTTGATCACGCACGACAAATCACATACAAAAAGAAGAACCATCAAAATGCCGAGTCATAGAAGGACTTATTGTGAGTGTTGAAAGTCACACTGAGGCTGTCGCCAAAGTGCAAATGGTTCACAGAAACAGGAGATCGCCACAACGACCAAGATTCAAGTCACAAAACAGGTCATAAATGTCTAGACAATCTGCGCAGTTCTGTCGGTTTTAAGGACGCCAACGGTATTCAGGGTTTGAAAACGCTTCATCCAGTAACACCTTCTGATATGGATCGTACCCACCGAGTGAAATCAAAAAACAGAAGCGAGGAGGTTCGAAGATATATTTGATAGGTTATCAACATATCGAGGATCGTCTGATCTAATCTGGCTAGCGATTGCACTAGATGTTGAGCACGGTGTTCCCACACGTGATCTGGTTCGGGTGCATGACTGAGTGCCTTCAGTTAGATGATTCCATCAAAACTAA